GGAGGTCGGCGCAGTTGTTGCACCGTGGTGGCCGGCTGGACGACGGGGGAGCAGTCGTTCACCACAGGGGGCGAACGCAGGTCGAGGAAGGTGAGATGATGGTGCTGGGAGGTGACGCGGGCTAGCGTCGGGGCCTGGAGACCGCGAGGAGGGAGATCGGCACCGTCGTTCCTCCGCGGTGGCCGATGTGACCACTGCGGTGCCGTCGTTTGCCGTGATGTGCCTGAGCACGTCGAAGAGGGTTGAGGGAGGCTGCGGGGAGGTGGGGTGGGGTGTGGCGAGGCTTCGAGGGGCCTCCGCGACCGCGAGGAGGGGGCAGCACGCCGCTGCGGTGGCTGGCGCGACAACGACGTGGCTGCAAAATATTAGCACGGTTGGATACGGACAAAAAGGCATTTTTTACTCACCTGGCATGCCCTTCGACCTTCGAGAATAAACGTGCCGAACGTTTGCGTTCGACGGCCTGGGGGAGCGCGAGGCGGAGGGTGGAGGCCGGTGTGACGACCGGTGCGCCGTCGTTCATCGTGGTGGGCCTGCGCGCGAAGGAGACGGTCGACGGAGGGTGCAGGGAGGTGGAGTTGGGTGGGTTGAGGCTTCGAGGGGCCTCGGCGACCGCGAGAAGGGGGCAACGCGCTCCTGTCACACCGCGGTGGCTGGCGCGACAACGAAGGGGCTGCAAAATGTTAGCACGGCGGGATAGGGAGAGAAGTTTTTTTTGGACTCACCTGGAATACCCTTCGACCTCCGAAAGCAAACGTGCCGCCGAACGGTGGCGTTCGACGGCCTGGGGGAGCGCGAGGTGGAGGAAGAAGGTGTCGCCAAGGTTGATGGCGGGCTGCATCCAGTCGACCTCGAGCGGCCGCGCGATGCTGCATCGCCGTCCGCGTGTCAGTTGCCCGCGCGAACGGGCGAGGAGGGTGGAGAGGTGAGGTGCGAGGGGAGGGGCGAGGGGAGCCCAGGGCGGGCTTTGGCGACCATGTGGCAGGGGCTTCGCGCCGTCGTTGAACCGCGGTGGCCGACACGACCACCGCACCGCTGTCGTTCGTCTCCGTGGGCCTGCGCGGGTGGAAGAGGGCCGAGGGAGGGTGCGGGTTAGTGGAGGGGGGCTGCCCGGGGCCTTGGCAGACTTGTGGCGCGGCCGTCGTTGCACCGCGTGGCTGTCGTTCGCCGCCGTGAGCCTGCGCGGGTCGAAGACGGCCGATGGAGGGTGCGGGGAGGTGGAGAGAGGCTGCCCGGGGCCTCGCGGGGCCTTGGCAATGCTGTAGTTGGGGCTGCGAGCCTTCGTCGCACCGCGGTGGCTGACGCGACCACCGCGTCGCCGTCGTTCGCCACCGTGGGCCTGCGCGGTTCGAAGAGGGTCGGGAGAGGACACAGGGAGGTGGTGAGGTGTTGCGAGGGGCCTCCGCGACCGCGAGGAAGGGGCTGCACGATGTTGTTGCACCGCGGTGGCTGGCGCGACAACGACGTGACTGTAAAAAGTTAGGAGGGCGCCATAGGGACAAAGGGTTTTTTTTACTCACCTGGACTTCACTTCGACCACCCAAAACAACCGCGCCGCCGAACGTTTGCGTTCGACGGCCTGGGGGAGCGCGAGGCGGAGGCCAGTGCGATGACCGGGGCGCCATTGTTCGCTGCGGCGGGCCTGCGAGGGTCGAGGAGGGTCGAAGGAAGGCACAGGGAGCTGGAGTGCGGCATCGCGGGGCCAGGGTGACCGCGAAGACGACGTTGTGCGCCGCCGTCGCACCGAGGTGGCCGGTACGACAATGACGCCGCTGCAAAAAGTTAGCACGGCGCGATACAGACAGAAGTTTTTTCGGACTCACCTGGACTGCCTCTAGTTCTCCGAAAACAAACGCGCCGCCGAACGTTTGCATTCGACGGCCTGGGGGAGCGCGAGGTGGAGGGAGAAGGTGTAGCCAAGGAGACATGGCGCGCCAGCGCCATGTCTGGGAAGAAACCAGAAAAGACGGCAGAAACAAGCAAGATGATGAAAAGCAGAGCAACGGCGAGGAGAGTAACTCCTCGCCGTTGTGGATAGGTGTCGCGGCGGTGAGCCACGCAGGAAGACCGCGAAAGATCCAAGTCCGGCCGGCGGTTGTTCGGCGGCGGCTTTCCCACGCCCTGCTGGCCTGCGCAAATGCTCGGACTGCCGCCGTCGTTCGCTCGTTCGTTAATCCACTGATATCTTGGGTGATTAGGACAGTTATTTACCCTTACTCTACCCCGATGCCATTCCCTGCGCCTGCTCTCCCGGTAAGTCCACCTGCTACCAGTTATTACCCGATTTGGCAGCTGGCCTGCCCGTCTAGGCAAATCCCATCTACCAACATTTGTTGTGTGGACCTAGGGTGCCCGCACGCTGTTGCTCCGGGTTGCGGGTGTGTGGCTGTGTCGCGCGGACGAGGACCGAGGTGCGTTGTGCGGACATCGCGGCGTTGGAGGGGAGTCGAACGGCAGCGTTGGAGGATCCGGGGGTTCGAGAGAAGTCGAACGGCGGGATTCGAGGGGACTCAGACGGCAAGGTTCGAGGGGACACGGACGGTGGACGTGCGTGACCGTCGACGCACAATCCCGAGCCGTTGTTGCTGCGCGTCTGTAGCTGGCCCGCGCGGACGAGGATCGAGGTGCCTTGTGCTGAGATCGCGGCGTTCGAGGGGAAAGGGACAGGGGCGTTCGAGGGGAGTGGGACCGCGGCGTTCGAGAGGAACGGGGTGGCGGATGTGCGTGCCCATCGATGTAGCGTGTCGACTGCGGTGGAGGTCGTTAGCGCCGTTAGAAAAAAACCGAAAAAACAAATTTTTACTTACCTCTAGTGCACGAGCACTCTCGTGCAGGGTCATCACATACTGATGTTGGTGCTGTGAATGTGGACGCTCAGCATCCAGCTCGTGTGAATGGGACGGCGGCGTTGGAGGGGAGCGTGACAGCGGTGGTGCGTGCGTCGACGGCTCGCGCGGAAGGGGACGGTGGCATCGACGAGAGCGGGACGGCGGTGGTGCGTCCGCGTCGACCTCGCGCTCCGCGCTCCCGTGTGCTCTTGCTGGGTGCGCGGGGTGCGTGGCCTGCTCGCGCGGACGAGGACGGTGGCGTCGACAAGAGCAGGACGGCGGTGGTGGCTTGCTCGCGCGGACGAGGACGGCGGCGGATCGTTCGCGGACGGCGGGCTTCAAGTGGGTGAAGGTTGTTAGCACCGTTAAAAAAACCGAAAAAATATTTGTTTTACTCACCTACACTGCCCGAGCAGTGCTGGGCAAACTTGCGTTCAAACGCGTTGCGTTTGAGTGTGCGAGGGAGGTCCTGGTCGAGCGACCGGCGCTCGATGTTGCAGGGGAGGTCCAGGGTGCAGTCGTTCGCCACGGAGCACAAACGCGCAGGAGCGAGGGGCCAGGGGAGTGCGAGGCGGCGGTGCGATGGTGAGACCGTCGATCTCGCGCAGTCGCGCGGTGTCGCCTCGCTGTCCGCGTGTCGGCTCCCCACGCGAACGAGAAGGCTGGATGGGTGTGAGGTGAGTGTGAGAGTGCGAGGGCAGGGCCGTCGACCTCGCGCAGCCGCGCGGTGTCGCCTTGCCGTCCGCGTGTCGGCTTCCTTCGTGAACGAGGAGGTTGGAGAATGGAGGGGTGAGGGGCGAGGGGAGTGCGAGGCGGCGGTGCGGTGCGAGTGCAGGTCTGTCGACCTCGCGCAGCCGCGCGATGTCGCTTCGCCGTACGCGTGTCGGCTCCCCACGAGAACGAAAAGGGTGGAGGGTGGACGTGTGAGGGGAGTGTGGGAGTGCGAGCGCGAGGCCGTCAACCTCGTGCAGCTGCGCGGTGTCGCCTGGCTGTCCGCGTGTTGGCTCCCTGCGCGAACGAGGAGGATGGGGGACCGAGGTGGGAGGGGAGTGCGGGAGTACGGGGGGGGGGGCGGCATCGTCGCACCGCAGTGGCCGGTGCAACAACGAGGAGGCTGCACAAAATTAGCATTGTAGTGTAGGGATATGAAAAAAACTTTCGACTCAACTGGGGGTGCCCTTCGACCTCCTAGAACGAACGCGCCGCCGAACGTTTGCGTTCGACGACGTGGGGGAGCGCGAGGTGGAGGTTGGAGGTGTCGCCAAGGGAACGTGGTGCTGACGCGCCGCGTTCGAGAGCAAACTAGGAAGGGCGAGGGACAGAAGCAGGAGAAGAGGAAATAAAATCAGAGCAATGCCGAGGAGAGCCTCCTCGGTGTTGTGGAAGGGTGTCGCGGGGGTGAGCCAAGCAGGAGGAGCGCGAAGCTAAGTCCAACCGGCGCTTGTTGGGCGACGGCTTTCCCACGCCCCGCTGGCCGTTATGCTTAATCGCGGAGCCGTTACGCTGAGGGGCGGCCGCTATGCTTAGTCGCGGGCCGTTATGCTTAGTCGCAAGGCCGTTATGCTTAGTCGCGGGCCCGTTATGCTTATTAGCGGGCCAGCGTCGGGGCCTGGAGACCGCGAGGAGCGAGGTCGGCATGGTCGTTGGACCGCGGTGGCCGGCATGAGGACCGCAGTGCCGTCGTTTACTGCGGAGGGCCTCCACAGATCGAAGAGGATCGGGGGATGGTCCTGGGAGGTGACGCGAGCCAGCGTCGGGGCCTGGAGACTGCGAGGGGGGAGCCGGGCGCAGTCGTTGCACCGCGGTGACTGGTGAGATGATCGAGGTGCGGTTGTTCGCTGCAGAGGGCAAACGCGAGGCAGCGTCGACGAGAGCGGGACGGCGGTGGGTCGTTCGCGGACGGCAGGCTTCAAGTGGGTGAAGGTTGTTAGCACCGTTAAAAAAACCGAAAAAATATTTGTTTTACTCACCTACACTGCCCGAGCAGTGCTGGGCAAACTTGTGTTTGAGTGTGCGAGGGAGGTCCTGGTCGAGCGACCGGCGCTCGATGTTGCAGGGGAGGTCCGGGGTGCAGTCGTTCGCCACGGAAGGCAAACGCGCATCGAAAAGGGTAGAATGGGAGTGCTGGAAGGTGACGCGGGCCTTCGGAGGGAGCTGGAGACTGCGAAGAGGGCGCCGGGCGCCGTTGTGGCATCGCGGTGGCCGGTGCGACAACGATCAGACTGCGAAATGTTAGCACAGTGGGATAGGGACAAAAAACCTTTTGTTACTTACCTGGCATGCCCTTTGACCTCCGGAAACAAACGTGCCTCCGAACGTTTGCGTTCGACGGCCTGGGGGAGCACAAGGCGGAGGGTGGAGGCCAGTGTGACGACCGGGGCACCGTCGTTCATCGTGGCGGGCCTACGCGAAAGGAAGTGGGTCGACGGAAGGTGCAGGGAGATAGTGAGGCTTCGCGGGGCCGAGGGGACCGCGAGGAGGGGGCTGCACGCCGCGGTGGCTGGCGTGACAACGACGTGGGCAAAATGTTAGCACGGCTGAAAAACAAAAAAAATGTTTCTTTACTCACATCGGCCCCCTACAACCCTCCATAGTGAACGCGCGGTCGAACGTTCGCCTTCGATGGTGCAGGGGACCGCGAGGGGTAGAGGTCGTGTCGCTCGAGAAACGCGACACTGACGTGCTGCGTTGGACGAGAAATCAGACAGGCAGGCAGAAATGAGCTGCCTACGACCCGTTGTACGATTCGCAAGCAGCTTCGAGCCCCCTCGATGGGCGAATGGAAGAGCATTGAGTGTGGGTCAGCTTACCTCGTTCGCGCTGGTGCGTGCCCGCCCACTTCCCTCGCCTGTATCTTCACAATGACGAGGCCGTTCTTCTCGAGCGGGGTGGCACCTTGTAGCCACGACCTTCGTCTACCGGACCCTACCGCGTTCGAGGGATTTGAGTGTGCGCAACATCGGAAACGAAGGGAGAGAACTCACCAAGGGCGCGCCGGCGCGCACCCCGCCACTTCGCCCGGCTGTATCGTCGACCAAACTCTTGAACCCCTCCCCAAATCGGTAGTACCTTGAAGCCAGATGGCCAGGCTATCGGACGATATACAATATGAGGCCAGGGGTAGAGGGTGAGGACGAGAAAAAATCGAGGAGTCGAAGACGCGCGAGGTGGGAAAGTCGGCGGATTGCCGCCGGTGGCCACGGCGACCCAGATCTCCGTCGAACTGTATCTTCGGGTAGTTGGTAGATTCGATGTCGGGCGATCTTTTGAGATAGCCGAGGGACCGAAATGAGGGAGGAAGGAAGGGATACAGGGGCGGAAAGTCGGGCGGCCTAACGTAGCGTTAGGCCTGCGGCCTATAGATAGAGTGAGCACCGACTTGTGTGAGGACAAGACACTACTCAACGACAGCGTGACACTGCTCGCCCACGGGCTCGAGAAGCCCAGAATGGAGGTAGGGCTGCTAGTCATGGGCGATGACGGCGGCGTCGTGAAGTCGAAATCGTCAGAAGGGGACCGTCCCGTCGTCTTTTGCGAGCGGGGGCTCCGGTGCATCGAAATCCCGTGGTCGTTGGCATGTTCGTCCTCGCCATCCTGCGGACACACGGATCCGCAGTGCGAGCAGCACCGCAACCGCATTCGGGGAGACGGTGGCAACGCCACGCTCGGCACTGACGGGCGCGGGGTGGCGAGCACAGATACGGACTCGGCGGCACGCTGGCGCTCGAACTCCCTCACGACTCTCTCGTCTAGTCCCGGTCCCAGCTCCCGATCCATTTTCCATCCCTGCGAGGAGTCCAGAGATAAAAACTCGATGCTGGACACGTCTGAGCTTGATTCAGAATCAGGGGCAGAGTTCTGCTCGTGCACGGTCAAGGTTGCGGGCTCGGTAGATGGATAAACTTGCGGACTGCGATCGGGCGAGGAGACCACGATACTGGGCAAAGGGAACACAGATGGGAAGAAGGGAGAGGGCGAGGAGATTGCGTCTTGAGAGGACGGTGGAGGATAGTCAGGTGGAGACTCGAAGGCTAGAGCACGGTCAGTAAGTCGAAATTGACAGGACGAGAGACGTACCATCGAGAGGGCGATCACACGAGGGAGGCGAAGCGAGAGGCGGTGGCGCAGGTTTGCGCGGACGGGGAGGGTTCATCTGCAGCCTCCGCGACGAGGACGGCGGGACGGCGGTAGTGAACCTGGGCTCGTCATCGTCTCTGCGCTCGGGCCTGGACCTGTCGACTGCTCTCTTTTATGGTTTGCGAGGACGCGGAGTGTTCTGCGACGCTGCGGACGTCAGAGCGGGCAGGCCACTCATGAGCTTGAGAGAGATGCGAGAAGCATCGGATGAAAGATGTGAAGGCGGAGGCGAATGGAGAGTTGGAGAGGGCATCGTGAGTGACGAAGGGCATGGAGATGGTTAGCAAGCTCACCGTGCTTCTCCACGAGCTCACTGCAATGCTCACTACACCACTTCCGCGCATTTCCCCTTCACGTGTCGAACACTTCTTGTTTCTCTCGCCCGTTTGTCTTGGAGAACAACAGTGTGTTCAAGGAGATGCACGACGAATTCAGCCTTGACTCGCCGTCGCTTGGCGGTGTGAATGAAGGTACGAAGTTGACTGGCGCAAAGTTCGCGTCGGGGTCATCTAGATCCTCGTACTTACTAGTACGCCTCTGGCGTCTCAAAGAACAAATATTTTGCGATTAAGTCCCATGCGATGTGCCTGGTACGGTATGATCCTCGTTCTTTGCGTCGTTCGTTGGAGTTTCTAGCAGTGGGCTCGGCGCTGCACGGCCCCGTCGACGGCGAGCACCATCGAGATAGGTCGTTCATCTTCTTACAGTGGGACCTGCACGACATTGGTCGTACAAAGATTAGACATGCGAGAAGAACTTACATGGGCGGAGACCCTTAGCCGCGGCTGCCTCGAACTCCTTCTCGATGCGCAAATTCGTCTGCTCGTTCCCGAGACCACTGCGGGTCAGGTTATCAGAAAAAATTCATCCAGCAGGAGCTCCAGATATGTACAACTCGCCGTCGTGCATAATAGGTGCAGTACCCAGTGCATCCAGATCCAGACAGTCTACCAACATATTTCTAAACAACTCTCGCAAAAAAAAATTATAATAGTGCGGAGGACACACCGCTGCAGATCTCATGGCCACATGCAAGCAGGCGACCACTATTGTTCGTGAACACTGACGGGCGTACGTCAGCTAGAAACGAACGCCGCTGCAATGCAGTTACTCACGGTCACCACAGACGGGACAAGTCGGCTCAGTCTCGGCGTCCTCGTCGCAAGTCGAACTCCGCTGCACGAGCATGCGCCATGAATCTTGCATAGCCCCATTAGGGGGAATTCAACCAACTTCTATACCAGAGACACCTTTTCTTGACCTAACAGCACCATGTCGTACATAAGTCTCGGACTACAGACGCTGAGTCGACGAGAGGACATACCTCCATGACCCACTGCGCACCCAAGAGCTTGTTCGCACGGGCGACTTCCTTGTCGTTATCGCTGCTAACAACTAGCGTCGGGTCTTCAAAGCCTTCCATGAGATTCTAAAAGCCCAACGAAGCATCAACATCACGAACGGGGAACGACCCAACGACCAAAGGACATACCAGAATGACATGCGGGTGGCAGCACAACCGGCGCAAGCGCAGAATCAGGACCTGTACACCGACTGTCACTCGTCGAATTCAACGAAACCTAATCATATAAGTAGACTCACGAGCACTGCAGTATGACTACACACAGAGACAGACGAGTCAGTAGAAGAACAGCAAAGCGAGGGAGGACGCACCCCGAATGAACCTATTGATCTGGATCTGCGCTCGCTTCTCGAAGCTGTCGTAAAGCTATATCGAGTCCGCCGCGCGCAGGACCGGAGAAAGGTAAACATTTATATCAGAACCACGACCAGCCGCAGAAGAACGCACCTCCCGCTCTTCCTCGGAGAAATCGAGCATGACCAACTCGATGTCTTTCTCAGGCAACTGGAGCAACGGACGTCCTTCCTACAATCCAGGTAGGGATAATGCAATGTCAAGACTAACGAACCAAATCAAAAAATAAACTTTATACTTACCAGCTGGGCGCCCTTCATCCGTCTGAGCAGGAGCGGCTTCAGCACCTCCTGGGCGCGAAGACCTAGTATGTACCTAGGTCATGCGGTGTACGGAGCCGGGAACAAAGCGAGGCGACGTACCCGCAAGCGGCGCGTCCTCGAGCTGCACCTTCGCGATATAATACGCGTTGAAGTCTTCCCAATCGCTGAAAATCGTGTCCGTAAGCAACATCTCCAATGCAAATTGCAGGAGGCGATGACACGTACTTCTATAGACGAAAGCGCCCAAACCGGATGAGGCCGTAAATGTCCGCACTAGAGGTCCCAAGTCAGCCAATAACTCCCGCGCCAGCGAGACAATCCGCGAGTGCTTACAGTGTATTCGTGACAGGCGTGCCTGTGAGACGCCAACGGTATTTCCGAGTCGCGCGGAGCATCGCGACGGCCTTGCTCGAGCGCGTAGATCTATTCGAAGTTGGTTCGTATGTGACCAGAATATGTGACACGGAACACCGCAACGAGTCGTTGTCAAAGGTAAACAGATACGTCTTGCTACAGAATACGATTCGCGACGTCGTCGATTGCGCGCGCTGCATACAAGTGGCCATTCGGTTGCACCTGCGAGAACCTATCACGCCTCCAGCTTTCCAAAACATGCCGGGCAGCCCACACAGTCGGGATGCCGCATGCCGTCTTCTCTGTCGTCCTCGTCCTCAAGTACTCAATGACGCCGCGCAAGTCGTCGTGTGCGCGGTGCAGCTGCACTATCTCCAAATCCTCGAGACTGGGGCGCTGCTCGAGCTACCCGGTCGAGGTTCTCCTGACATTCGACGCTCAGCCCCTCGCGGGGGCCGCTGCCCTTGTCGCATGCAGCATGGAGACGCTTCACGTCCTCCACTTGGCGTGGTGTCCGCTGGGCGCGTTCGCGAACCTGACGTGGCTTGCCATTCACACGTTGCAGATGGACCGGCCTGCGGACATGGGCGTGCTCGGGGTGTTCCCCATGCTGCGCACCCTGACGCTGTGAGAGGGGGGTTCTGTTCCTGGGCGCATCGGGGGGCGAATGTTAACAAGATGTAGCCCGGCTTGAATTACGTTGAAGTACACCCGAGGGCGGCCCACCTCCAGGATCTGTCCCATGAGTCGCATCTCCCTCACGTACTCCATGATTATCGCGTTCTCCAAGTTCATCGCGTTCATTCGGCAGACGTCCCCCTTCGTGCTCGCTTGCGCGTCTAACCCGCAGGGGTGCTCGACCTCGAAAATGGAGGAGCTCGCAAGTACGGCGCAGGGGCTTCAGTTCACCTTGCGTAGTGTTGGTGCGCTAGGTCCGTACTCATACAACGCCATCGCGGACTGGATGGTGAGCCGATCCCCCACTAGTATATTTTTTGTGCGTTCATGAGTCGGCTCCGCAGGGGCGCATGACAACCCTCCGCGTCCTCCCGCTCGCTGGCTTCGCGCTGCAAACCTCGACAAGTCAGTGGGGTTCGCAGATCACGGAGTTTACGACGGTCCTTGCATCAGCGCTTGTGGAACGCTTCTCGAGACTCGCGTGTGTCGCCATCGGCGTCGTGCTGTACATGGACGCGAGCCTGACGTGGTATCGAGTCTGTGAGCACCCGAAGGGTGAGGTCCCTCTACTCGATGTGCTGTCCGACGCCGAGGGCGAGGCGGAGACCGCCCTGATGCAAGCTTTGGGTCGCGCGGCCGGAGCTCCGGTGTTTGGGGCGATAAAGCTGCAGGACCTATATGAGTTTCATTTATGCTGTGAAGCTGGTGAACGCGGACTGCATTGTATGAAATTGTTCCTTTTATCAAATCGTATATTATGGTATTGCTCCGTCTAGACTGTTCATGTGTTGAGTTTGGCTACAAATTCCAGCCTAGAAGGCAGCTTACCGGTGAAACAAGTTCTCTCCCTATCACGCGCCCCGCGCCAACCACCGGAAGAATACTAGCTTCGCTTTTTGCTTCCATGTTCGCTCCGCGCGTTCCGCTCTTCATGTCGTAATGCATAACGAATATTTTGAACAATATGCCCGGGCAAGGGAGTCATGCAAGGTAATAATGCATCCCTTCTAACGAAAGTAGAGATGGACCTCGGTGCCTCGACGCCTTACGACGTCGAAACTGTCCGATATGCCCTTCTTCACCTCCTCCGTATCTATGTTACGCATGAAAACAAGCTCAAGGCGTTGCAGCGCTAGAAAATGCTCTTCGCCCAAGATGGTGACCGCGCTCTCCGACTCGAGATTTGCTTTTCCCGGCCATAGATTTATTGTCAATTTGCGGACGTGGCTCTCGGGGTGAATCAGGCGGAGGACCTCCGGCAGAGATATGTTAAACAACCTGCGCAAGCCGAGACTTTGTAGCGCATTGCATCGATGTAGGTTCAGCTGCCGAACTGCGAGCAGCGTGAGTCGTGCTGCTACCACAGTATTGGGAGTCTTAGCACTTACGAGTGGATGGAGAAAAGGCTCCATCAAAATAGAAGTCTAAATGCTGCAAACTAGTTCGGGCGGCCTCCAATATCGCTCCCACATGGGGTGTAAATTCTGGTGATAGATCGGATTCAAAAGACCGCAGAGACGAGATAGTGGTCGACGCCAGCCACTCGAGAAAGGTCAGCGCTAGCTGTTCGTTCACAGCGACGACAGTGACATCGGTGAGTGGTGGTGGAGAACTTGTTGCGGCTGAGACAGCTCGGAAGCGTGCACCGAATGATAGACGGCGTAGTCTCGCAACCCGAAGCTGAGGCAGGGCACAGATGAGGCACTGAATTTGGTGAAAGTTGCGGAACATGCATTGGAAGAGCACCAGAGCGGTGACACAGGCAAACTGCGAAAAGCCGATAGGTATTATATCTGGATGCATCACGATGGCGTCCCATTTGATGTTCGAAATCTTCATGACCTGGACGGTCGAGCACATACGTCCAAGAACGAGGGGGAATCGATGTACCCAAGCAAGCTCTGCATCGTGCAGGTCTAGTGTGGACACCGATTTCAGAGCAGCTGCCACATGCGGGATCCTGGATGCCCTAACAAATGACTCGAAAGTTTTGCTGGATTTCAAAACGATTTCCCCGCTGTATAGATGGTAACGGCTGGCTGGAAGCCACGTCTGACAGACGAGGGAACATTTGAACAGCGCTCGCTGGTCATGATACAGAAAGTCGATGACGCGATCCGACAGCTCCGTAGGAAGTCTCGACTTCATATATATCGATCCTTAAGGTGTACGATGACGGACGGTAAGTTTTCGACCCGAGAATAAGACATGCACGACGCACCGTGGTGCACTACGCTGTGTATATGGAGTATGAAGAACGAGATGCTTCAGGAACTAGGGACTACACTTTATTTGAGATCTGATGCCTCAAGTAATTAGCGATCATAATCAAATATGACGACAGAAAATCAGCGCAGTGGTCCTTGGCTCGCAGTGGGGAAGACCGGGAGTTAATGTGAGAGAAGGTATGGGCTACGCCGTACTTGAGAGAAGGAAGGTGGGAAACGATCAGTAAAAAAATTCCTCGCAGGGCTGTTAGTAAGTTCACAGCTTGGCTGGGCGGTAGAAGTACTGATGAGTGGTCACTGGCCGGTTGACCTTTTACTACTTCGCCATCAACGTTGCCGTCAGAGCTTCCTGATCCCGGGTCTAAGCCCGCAGTAACCTTTAGTACAATCTGACTATTCCGGGAAATCTCCGGGGGAGGTGGAGGGGAGAACAGTCTCAACCAGATTGAACCTAAACATATGAGTGGTCTGAGCGGTAGAAGTATGATTCCATGGGCGCACCCACATGTGCATGCATTTCGAGAAGCTGAGCCTTGCGCCCTACAAGCCTGTCACCAGAGAGAACATTGTAAAACCGGAACAACCGCCACAACCGCCAGATCGCACCAGAGAGGGCGATTAATCGTCCCATGTGCCACTGTCCTCGCACGGGTACTTGCGGAAATGAACGCCAGTAAATTATCAGGGTCTCGCGAGATCCGCCAGTTCGCGCGTGGTCGTGGGATTAGCTGAACTTTGCCTCCGCGCCAACTCGTCGCATGAGGATTCATGTCTGCACAGATTAAAAATAACACACTCAAACGCCGACTCTGGCTATGCGCATGAAGCAAACCACAGCAACAGCGCGAGGAAAGGGCCGGAGAAGTTTGATGATGATAGGACGCGAGTTCTATATGTTGTCACCGGTACCGGTCCAACCAAAAATATATCGTTCGAAAAGCATTCGAGTGGGCGCACCTATAGATTGACGTCGCAGACCCAACATCTGCACATCTTTTCACAGACCGAGTTGACCTCATGCCATGACTTCACCTAATTATTCATCGATACCCTTCAATACTTACGCGTGATATTCAGTCGCACTGTCCTGATTACAACTTGAGGAAAGCTAGAAACAGGACAGAACAGAAAAACGTTTCGAGCGAAGAACGCAGCGCATGGAAGATCCGCCGAATGAGGGCTCTGCCACCATGTCGTGCAGACCAGGTCAAATCCAGGCATCTTGAGCATTGATACAGGAGGCAAGCTGTGGATATACGAGAAACAGCCGACGCGATGCGATTCAGGGGGAAGAACCACGCCGCTACAACTTGATAAACGAAGTATCGAACCCATAAGCGAAGTCCCAAATACAAATCTTCTGCAACAGCGGTCAATGGTCAATGGTCGGACGATCAGACAAGATCGACGACGTACCCGGTCCTCTCCGCACGAAACAATCTGTTATGAACAGCATCAGGAGCCATGAGAGCGAACGAGCAGTCAAAACGTACCTTCGCACGGTCAAAACCAACACAGAAAATCCTCCCTGTATGCCCTCCAGCCAGATCCGCGACCAGCGCACCAGTCTTGCGATCCCACACTTTCACCGTGAAGTCGTAGCTCCCGCTGACCACGAACTCCTCGCCAAGCGCCACGCTGCGCACCAGGTCCTCATGCCCGCGCCGAACATCATCCGCCGCGCGCACGACCGTACTTCCGCACATCTGGCACGGCGCCGCAGCGGTTGGCCCGGGCGCGTCAGGAGCAGTCGACCACCCCTGCGCGGATGCGATATCGAGTAGCCGCAGGTGCTTGTCTGACGAGCCGGAGAGGACGAACGGCGGCTTGTAATCAATCGACGCGATCCCGCGCCCGTGGTGATTCTCAAACGTGCGCAACAACGTTCCCTTCTCTGCGTCCCAGAGCCGCATCGAGCGATCCCCGGACGCGGACACGATGTGCGTGGAAGAGATCGAGACGGCGTTGACGGCGGCGCGATGGTCCCCAAGGATGTGCTGTGGGACAAAATCGGGAAGAGTGTATGTCCGTACTGTGCGATCTGTAAATGGACGTCATGAGCGGGACTGCTGCTGCTATATCATAAATAGAGTACAACGTACCCTTTGAACAGGTGACCAGCCGCTTATCGTCAAAGCGCACACACAAGACGCTGTCTTCGTGGTCTAAGATCACCTTGCGAAGAACATCCCGCCCGAGATCCCAGATGACGACTCTCCGGTCGCTCCCGCCGCTGACAAGCAGCCCATTGTGCGCACATACGCTGAGCACGCTGCCCTCATGCACGCCCTTAATGACACGCCGCACGGTCCCGTTGCTGAGATTCCACTCACGCACTGTGTGATCCTTTGAGCCAGTAAAGAGCACCTGCAGGCCGCAATCAGGGTAAGTGTACAGCTGCAGACAATAAATGGTGTTCGAGTGTGCGTCCCGCGTGCTGCGTGTCTGAAGGTACGAGAGGAAGTAGTTTCCTGAGAGAAAGCGATTGCGAATGTGGACGTGTGTCTGGTGGAGCAGCTTGTAGTCCGGCTTCTTGCGGTCGACGGGATTGAGGCTGAGGGAACCAGGATAGCGATTACAGGAGCTCGTGCGGGGTTTTTCCATGGGTCGATCAAAGGAAGGCGAGGTAAATATTTCGTCCACGAGCATCGAGGAGAAGCCGGAATCATCCAGTAGCATCGCGACCGCCTCCTCTGATTCTTCCTCGTCGCCCATTCCCTCGTCGTCCATGTCATCGTAGTCGCACACATCATCGTGATTGTCCAGCTTGTATGGAAAGCGCCATTCCCAGTTTTGTTGGGCGCAGAGCCGCTTCCAGAGTGTCTGATCGTCCGTCAAGGTGTGCCATCTCCGGCTCACGAGGGCGCAGGAAAGGAGCGAGGTATAAGGAAGATGTGAAAAGACTTGGATGGCAACTTCGTCTGGTAGCAGCTGGTAGAGAACGGTTGATCATGAGGAACAAGCCAGATCAGCAGAATCGGAACGTACGCCAACAACGTCGAGCTGCAACAGAGGTGCTATCCTTCGCTGCACAACCGCCAAACTTGAGCGTGGTAGAGAGGCCAACAGGCTGTATGCGAGCTCTGAGCAAAGGAAAACTGGATTTAGTGACCTGGATGCGAGCACCGGCGGCGGCACACGCACCCTCACGCTCACGAATGGAGGTCCCCGTCTCCCGTACGACTGCACTGTCTAAACCTCCCCGCCAGTGAACCGCTTCGTCCTGTGCATCAGTGAATCCCTCATCGGTCACGACAATCATTTTGGTCTGAGGTCGAACGATGGATACGGATGCGATATCTGTCGCTGTTGTTGTCGGGAGACAATACTGATGGCGCTCGCCCGAGCGCTTACGGCCGCCCCACGCCACTACTGCCTCACATTCGAGGCTCTACACAATCCCTGAAGTCTGCTAGTTGACTATGAGAGTTATGCACATGGAGTTGAGCTATTATCAGAGTGACAAAAAATGATACAAATTAGGGCGGCCGAATCTGAACAATTGCACGAGCAGACAGCCTGGATTACGAATCTATGCACCGAACTTCTCCATCGGAGGGCCTGCAGGAGGCTCCTTAAGTGGCGGTAACGTCGTTACGTGGTAAAGTCTGGGAATAAGAATTGTCCACGATGTTCCCCGTTATGCTATCTCTCCGGTCTCCAAGAACTTGTCGAACTCTTTCATCGCCGTCTCGTCCTACAGACATTCACAAGTCAACGCTCTCAGACGAGGCCAAACCAGAAGACAGAACAGATCACACGCACCCCAAGAAGTGTCCTCCTGACTGTCTTCCTAAATCTCGCAGCTGCTGCTTGCCTCTCAGTGTATTGCTCATGCCGCGTCTTCAGCCTTGCTAATTCGTCTTTCATCAACGCAACCTCGCCCTCCGATTTCTGTAGCATATACTGCAGCGTCGAGATGGTCTGTGCATCCCTGTTAACGTTGCGAGTGTGGCGCGATTTCGCGGTTCTCACTGCCTCAGGTCGCCCGTAGCAAGCAGAGTAACAAAGAAGCTGGAGGATATCTACCTTCTCGGGGAACCATAGAGGCTGACAGCAAGGAACTGAGAATTTGAAGACAACGGAGGACTCGGAATGTGTAAGAGGATGTTTTGCACGAGTAAACGAGGAGGTAAATCAGGAACTGGACAAGTCACCCACGCGCTGAGCGCTCATTGGTATTGGGCGCGTCTCGTCACGTGTGACGCGTTTCGCGGGCGGTGGCTGATGGGCAGCTGCATAAACTCTCCTTCATACACGTTTCAGCCTTGCTACACAACACTGTTACTACTGATTTGTGAAGTATACGGATCGAGTTTACTACTCGCTGACATATAGCGCCTTGTTCGAGAAGAGCGTACGCAACAATATATTAAAATACTATGTCCAATATCTGTCTAGCAGAGCGCAGGTATCAGCCAGCAATATGCTCAGCCGTGTAACAGCGACGACGCAAGTGTCCACGAACCCGGGGGAGAACCACAGGAAAGGGCTGCAATGTCCGTGTTACTACGCGAGCCTAGAAATGGGCCCAGCAGAAACAGATAAGTAAAAAGCCTCCAGAGGGAACACGAGACGTACCTATCGTTAAAAAATAATAAATAGCAGTAAAGAGCGGCTGGATTATCGTCTTGTCGTTGTCATCGCATATCATGAGCGTCGTTGCTGCGTAGGCTATGCAAGGAGGGAGAGGCAGTCGCCGTCCATCAGTGGACGCAGAATTGGGGGATCACGCCCTTCTCATCCGGAGCGCTGATGCGTTGCACCAGACACCACCCGTCCTCGTACTCCTCCAGCATGCGCAGCGTCTCGCCGAGCCTGATAGAGAGCTCGTCGGAAAGCGACGGAACGAATGTGTTCAGCACCGTCACGATGCGCGGCAGGTCTGCCGGCGGCTGGAGGCCGTTCGAGATCTTGGACGACATCGTCGACGGGCGCGACTTGCCCTCGGGACCGAACGACGCCGTGCGTGGCGTGGGGACGATGGGAGACTGCGAGTGCGAGTGCTCCTTTGAGAGGGAGTCGATTCCCGGAGGGCGCGCGGTGATGGGGATGGAGATTGGTGGCGGGACCTGCCCCGAGGTGGCGTTCCCGCTCACTTGGTAGGTCGGCGGCGGCGAGGGCATCTGCACGAACGTCTTCACCGTCTTCATGCTTGCGGTGTGCTTGCCGGGCAGGAGCACGTTGACCTCCCTGCTGGTATCCATGCCGCCCTTCTCCAGTCCAGGTGTCGAAGGTGTGTCGTTGAAGTAAAGGGGTACCGCCTTCCGGAACGTCTTACGCATGGACGCAATATTGATCGTGCGGGACGCGGCGCCAGTGCGAGCGCGGACTTTACGCCGTCTCCAAACTCCAATCCTCCAAGCGACGACACCTGCGCGGTGTTAGAAACGACAGAGCTAATCCCAGACGTTCGAAGTGCTGACCGATGACTAGGAGTCCGAATATGACCACCAAAACTGCCAAAGCTTTGGTCGCGGGCGTCAGCTCGTGATCATCATGGTGGCTGCTTTCAGCGGTGGGAGTGGCGGTGGCCGTTAATGTTGAGGCCGAGGCACTTGACGGGTCTGCGCGTAGGTGAACGGCATGACGAGCTTGACTGCGCGGGTACGCGCGACTAGAGTTGAGTACGGCCATATATAAGTTGAAAAAAAAGAGGACAAAGCGAGCGGACAGAAATAAGGCTAATAAACCGGGAATACGAGTAGTGTGCCGGGGAGAAGAGGAGAGGGGACGAGCACACAACGAGGTCGGTGCACGTATATATCAGTAGACTGCATCAATCGTGTTACATTAGGCGAAAACCCCATCACTCGTTTCAGCCGCAACATGTATAAGGAGCGCGGTTTGCTGTGGCGGACACAGCCATCACGCCTCCCTAAATGTAGAGCCAGACTCATCAGAGGTCCACGAGGATGACTACAGCTGCCTACTGAAACCGCCGTTGAAAGGACGACGCGTCCACATACGTTTTCGACCAAACGAGTTAAATAGTGTCTAGCAATAAAGTCGATATAGCACGATGCAAGGACCTGGCTCCCTCTGTAGGGATGTATGTACTTAACGAACTTCGAACGATCATCTCCACAGTTACAGGGGGTATAGATCTTGCCGACTCTCCAGCTAACGAGTAGAGTGCCTCAGCTGCGATGGCCATCTTTTCGTCAGTAGTGAAGGGGATGAAAGGCAGCACAGTCGTGATTCGGGAGGATAGCGATGCCTGTCACAGATATAACGAATCAGTAAATCCTGACGCGATCCAATACAATTGACTCACTCCGAGGCGCTGAGAGACGCACGGTCGCAGCATAGCCATGAGGTCGACGTACTCCTCCCGCGACAGCTGAATGTCAGGGTTAACGCGGTCGGCGTGATGCTCGAAGACCAGGTCGTGCCCGATGTTGGACGTCCCTAACCAAATGACACGAGAGACGTCGACATGGCGACGACCTGCCTCAAACGAACATCGGCCTGCATCTGCACTTCAGCACACTAAATGTAGTGTCAAACGAGGAGATACGCACCAAGCTCCCAGGGCATCAGGAGCGAAGATAGGAATTTTTCATTTTCCGTCTTCTCGATCTCCTGCAAGTCCGACGTCAGATGATGTATATAACTGTTCCTGATGACGGAGTACGGACATCGAGAACGACAACACAGCGCTTGCCCTCATTACTGATCAAGAACTCCGCGAGCGTGCATGGCGAGGGAGCCTGCGGTATTATCAACATTCGATACGGCATCGAACAACAGGAGCACTTACTTCGTACGGGCTCATGGAATAGCTCCGCCATATATCATGGGTGGACTGCAGCGTCGTCATGTTCACGGTATGAGTAGGCACATCAAGCAGCGAGCCGACTATGGGAAAATCGTGAGCCATTACTACTTCACAAAGCACCAAGCATGCAGCACGCACACTTCCGCGCGAGAAGACTTTTCCCATGCCCGCTCGGACCTGTAGGGATATCATTTAAACTGAAACCTATCCAGAGCTTCAGATTTAGGCGACATACCACATAACATCACGACGATGGGTGCCATAGACGGCATGCTGAGGACCCGAAAGAGCTGTTCAAGCGCACGGTCTTGGCCAACCATGTCGTATCTTACTCTTGCTAGCGGGCGAAATGCGGAGCGGTGGATCAATGCAGAGGTGCGTCGAGTCTGCGGAGCTTCAGCTCGCGCGATATAATACCTTAGATGGCATAAAACTCGAATTCCCTTGGTCAACAAGCCAGTAAAACACCCACCTTGTGGCAGCGTCAAATTGATCCAAAACACTAGCGTGCGCAGGCGAAGAAGATTCGCTACCATGCTCGGAAGAGGACCCATGCGCATGTGCAGAGGCAAAACCTTTGAGCACAGACGGATCAGCGCCATACGCCAGTAACAGCTTGACCATCTCCATTTTGTGCTGGAGCTGGCTCGACGTGAGCGTGAACGCAAGCGCAGACTGCGCACCGACGTTATCGTTCGGACCCGCCTCCCCGCTCTCCAGCACGCGCTGTACTTCTTCAACATTGTCGCTAGCAAGCGCAAAGAGAAGCGTAGGGCGCGGAGTCGCGATGGCGTGCACAGGCGAGCGCAGGATGGACTGTGGACGCGATTGCGCAGGGGCAGAGAATGGTACAGGAGCGAAGGAAGATGCCGGTCGCTGGAAGGTGTCCTCGAATCTATCGTCCCCTTCGCTGTGGTCGGACTCCTCCGCGGTCTCATACAGGACACTGGGTTCGGACAGACGGCTATCCGAGCGATGATATCTCTCCATATGAGAGTACCGTCTGGATGATATGCTGGACAAGCGGGAATCGCGCTTCCACGAAGAATGGTGATCAACGGGGGCTGAGAGCGGAGAATTGCCAGGACTTGAAGGGGCGACATTGTGGGTCAGAAGGGTATTGCCGATGCGAGGTGGTATGAAACTTGAACGACGAGATGATAGCTACATGGTGGGCGATGAATTTGGTCTGCGTTACGCTATAAGAGAGAGCTACACTTACCAAACGATTATTAGATATGGAATATTCTGATGATACAGTGGGAGATGATGGTGAGTATGCTGTGAAAAGCCAGGTCAATACAAGTCATGCCAGTAGTTACAAGGTATGCCCACCAGTGGTGCCAGTCGTTAAAGGTGGAGGAATGCTGAATGACGCCAAAGATGATCCGAGAGAAGAGGAGCTATTTAGAAGCATGGACTGGGCAAGCAACGTGTCAGGACTGCGCATATGCAAGGGTTGCGGATCCTCATGCTTACCAGCCGTAAAGGCTTGAGCTTCCTGGAGCTCGAAGAAAAGCACTGATCAGGAGACAACACAACCTGTAAATCACTGGGTTGTGGCCTGTCGTGAGATTTCGGGCAAAAACCAACCAATGGCGTGGGCCTTGGTCGCGCAACGGAGAAGTCGTTCGATGTGTTCGAACGTTCCTACGATTTCCACCATCGGTCATTGTGAACAACACCGAGATGAGCGTGCTTACCGCGATCGAATGTCGGAAGCCAAACGGCACTTTGGTGGATGCTCGTTTCTCCCACACCGCTTCCAAATTCTCATGCTGAGTATGACTCTCAGCAGGACACTGCTGAACGAGGGACTTAGGCGTCTCTCCGTCCAAGGCACGCGAGATTCGCGCTGAGAAGGGCGAGCCAAGAGTTGTCGGCGGCGCTCGCGACACCTCCGGGGAGAAGACCTTCGTTGATAAATCAGATGGGCCGGCCTTAGTCAGAGTCTCGCCACGCGGAGGCGACTGAAGAACCGCGCGAGATGATGTAGGATCCGGAATCATGTCGGAGTAGTACCCGTCATAGAGGACTTGCACGGAATCGTCACCTGGCGGGCTCAACAGCACCGCCTGTGGAGGCTGGGCGATTTCAGTTGTCATGACATGAAGGACTCCATCGCTCAGCTGTTGCTCCGGTGAGGAAAGATTGAAAGTCGGCGTCTCCTCAGGATACGTAGGGTCGCACTCAATTTCAAGGGGTATCTCGCCATCGGTGGGTATGGACTCATCGAAGCCCTCGTCTTGCTGGTCTTCATGAGTGAACGGAACGTCCTCATTGACGTCGGATGGATGAGACGAATGTGTGCGTGGAAATGCTGCGAACGTAGGCGAGAATAGCGCCGTAGTAGGCGGTGCCGTGCCAGGCTGCAACGACAGTATGCGCGAAGACGGAGAACCAAATGGCGAGGACAGAAGCGACAGTGTGGACACCCGTCTAGGGCTGCGAGGCGGAGAACTGAGGAAAGGAGACGGGCCGATCCAGCCGTCCGCGTATCCGGAGTCGATCGAATCCTCCCGGTGGACTAACTGGTCGTGCGGGAGACAGATGGGTGGTGCACTAGTGATTTCAATGGGTGAAAGAAGACCGAGACTGAGGGTGTCCTTCGGGACAGGTTCAGCGGTGGTGAAAGATGGAAGCTGAGAACGGGAGAAGCGTGTAATGGTCCGTTCTACGTCCTCATCGACGTCCTCCTCCCCCTCTTCGCTAATAAGAGTCTCCAAAGGGTCAGTTAATACCGCAGAAGAGTCGGTAGATGAGTTAACGAGTGTGGCAGACCCTTCGGACGTAAGAATCTCGTCCAGCTTAGCAGATTCGTCGGAAGTATGAGAGACTTCGACAATATCCTCGCCAGAAGAGACAGCAGAATCTAAATTCAAAGAGTTGAGCGTTTCATCCACCAGGTCCTCAGCAGCATCGTCCTCCTCGTCCTGCACAATCACGTCTCCGAGGGCAAGTAGAAGGCTGGACATGCGCGGAGAACGTGGCGGCGAACGGATGCGCACCGCCCCACGCTTGGCAGACATAAAACCGGGAGAGTCGGTTGAAGCGGGAGTGTGGTCCACGGCGGAAAGAGAAATGCTCTCGGGCCGTTTGACGGAAACGTTGTGCAGAAAGTTGCATGAATCGGCGAAAAGGCAGCGGCCTTGCGAATAAAATGGACATGGTCGAGCTGCACGATCCCGTACGTTCAACGCCCAGCGCACGAACGAGGACGTGTCACTCACATCTCTGCTTCCATGGGGGGTCTGCAGCACTCATAGGCAGAACATGGAACGCGGGGAGCGCAAGTATCTTCGGCGCTGATAGTGGCAACCGTGGTAAATCAGTGGGCTATGTGTACGAAGGTTGGGCGAACATACAGGGTGCATATAGGACGCGGAAGGCGGACGCTGTGAGCTCGTCGTCAACGCTGTCTAGCTCGACGCGAAGAATCTTGGGCTCGTTGCCGCCCCACCACCACGACAAACGGGCCGAGCAAGGAGAAACTTATGTGCTTAGCGCCCGCCTGAGGGTCCGACTGCAACCGCTTGCGAGATTCGTTTCTACGCCGTCGGGTCCGGAGTAACTAATGATCCGTTGAGGTGACTTCAACAGCACAGTATAGCGTACATAGAAATCAGTGTAATTCGCACTATGTAACATTGCACTGCGTGTTTGACTTCTTCGGTTCTACCCTCTATAGGCTCGCCATCCCCGCGCATCAGGCTTCCCCTTCCTGCACACGCACTACACAAAATGTGTAAGATTGTCGGTTTCTAGAGCTCGGATCCCAACCTAGAGAGAAAGTATGCAAAGCGCGAAACCCGTCAATTGGAATGTTACGCATGTCCAGGTTACGAATAAAAGTAGGGTATTGAGAAGGCCGCAACCAGCGCAAGGATGGCGAACGCGATGGCGAAGTAGGATCTCGAACGAGGGCCGTCCAGAACTGCACGTTGCTGCGGAATGGTTGCGTATGATGGAAGGGGGACGCGAGACGGAGAAGGTATGTACTCGATGAGCTGTACGTACCCGATAGACTTCAGGCCATGCACACTGTGAACGCCAGTCAACAGGCGCGGTCATCCTGAGAAATAAACCGGAACTCACTAATAACCCTGCAAATTACGGGAGGTCTCTTCCTCCATGCCTAGTGGCACGCCGTTCAATGCCCACGTCACTGTTGTCGAGTCTGTCGACTGCTCCAGAGTCGTCGTCAGCGTCGCGGCGTGTCCTGTGTCATCATCAGGAACACTTTCTTATAGACACTTCGGAAATACTCACCTTCTGGCCACGTTGGGCTCTGCAATGCCCACGTCTGAACAATCTCCTTCGGAGGCGTCAGCGAGACATATTTACCCTTCACTCCACCGCCAAATAAGCTATACTCCGAGTCCGGTTTGGCAGCAGACTGTAAGACGGTCAGTAGCCATCATAAATCACAACAACATCGGAGATGACGTGCCTGAGCAGGCGCGCGCGTCCACGTCGGTGTCCGCTTCTCATCTGTGAGGAGGCCGAACAAGTCATCCGCCGCGGCCATAAACGTCGCCTTCACAGTGACCGTCGTCGTGTTCACCTTGGCCGCAGCTTTCGGTTCGGGCTTCTTCGAGGGGGGTGGTACCTTGGAGACGGGCGTGGATGTTCCTGACGTGGACGCTGCTCCAGGCGCAGGCGTGCCTGTGCGACTGGCGTTGGCGCTGACGGTCAGATCTTTACCGTGCGTCTCGACAATGGCTTGCGCAAACTCGGCGAATTTCTCCTCGAGGGCAATTGGTAAAAGGGCCTTAGCCAACGCGAAGACGGTGTCGACAGCGGGCGAAGAAGCGGTCGTGAGGCTCCATTCATACTGCGAAACTACAGTCAGTATGCGAGTATGAGCTACGAGGGGCCGTCACCATAGGGAGATCAATAGGCGTATTCATTTTTCCACTCCCAAATAACGGAGTGGGGATGTAGCTGAATGACGCGGCTGTGAATGGCATATCTCTAACGGTAAAATTAAAACTCTTATGTTCATTTGCAGCGCACAGAAGTTCGAATAATCCGCATAACATTGCAAAGCGAGACTAGTCTGTGTGGGACAACACGATTGCCTCAGAATTAAAGTCCAGATCTCCCAGCGAGGAGAACCGCTACCGAGGTCCGGATACACTCTAGCGAAGACGCGTAGTGGGATATATTCGCAGCCCAGACGGTTCGGTAGGCCGGGGGGGGGGGGGGGGGGGGTGTTCCTGTGGCGGACTCGAATGCGGAAGGGATTTGGTAAAGATGGACTACGAATATATTCCAACACAGACGGAATATGCAAGAAAAGCAAAACGCATTGAGCAGGAGGAGATGTTTGAGAATACACGCACCGCATAGTCAGACAACTTATCAAGCGTAACCTCATGCGAGACTTCTGGAATAGTCAGGTTCCCCGTCACCTCGGTTCCATCCGCCGCAATGCCAGACCACTGCAATTCTACCTTGCAATCGTAGATCGTGATCAGTCTGCAAGCTATGCTCAGTTGACATGTGTCCGAGAACAAGCAGAACGCGTACTTTGACTTCCGCTGACCGAGCTCCACGTCACCGTCCACGTCCACGACCTTGGAGATTGACACCTTCTCTCCGGTAGTGCCCCCCACGGCGATCGTCGTGAGTTCACGCTCAAACCACGCCTTGGCCCAAGGCGTCACGGTCTTGTTCTTCCAGTGCCAATTTGCCGTGCTCGGCGCCATGCTCGGTGGGATCGCGGCCATCGTGTAAGAGTGCTGGAACGATTGCAGAGTCAGATGCAGAGGTCAGATACCCTGCAGGACGTGTTAGAGTCGACCAGGAAATTTATTGCGTAGAAGTGATGATGCTCCCGAACTTTCCAGTGACTTCGCACAAGCGCTTACCATCGGCGCTCGCCGAGTATGCTGAGCGCTTACTCGCACCTGGCACGAATGTCTGAGTTCCATCTGTTTTTGAGTAAATAATCGTACAACTGACGTACAGTATGTGAGATACAGTATTATACGTAGTTGGTACACATACACAGCACAATTTCACAACGCTGGTCGGTCACCCGCTTGAAGACGCAGGACTCGAAGATAGTATATGAAGAACGGGAGTTTCCTCAGGGATGTCTGATTCCAGCCGTCGCATTTGAGGCCATGCATTATCATCCTGCGCAGGAATACGATGTGGGGATACGACGTCAGCTGAGCTATAGAAGGACACCGTCAAGGCGACGAAACGCACCCCCCGAGCTGCTCTCCGAATAACATCCCACTCCTCATCGGATTCCGCCTCCAAAGATGCTCGTTCACGCTTGTAACGCTCCTTCATCTCTTTGATCCGCTCCCTGAGGTCGGCGACCTCCATCTCGGATGTGACCAGTAAACGTTGCAGGTCTGATATTGTCACGTCTCGTTTGCCTGCTCGGCGCACTCTCTCAGAGCTCGCTGTGAGAAACGGCTCGTAAGCTCAATGAGGAATGCAGTCAGAATCCCCCCCGGGAGCAGACCTTTAGGCATCTCCCATTAGTCGGTGTATGGAACGGAAACACGTATCTCCACGAGCAACTGGACTCAACGATGGTTGTTGTAGATGATACAACAGAGCGAGTAGGTATATGCAGTAAGGGTAAGCAAGGAGACAACAGAGCAAGGGCCACCGTGAACGCGTTTGTCACATGCTGGCGTTTCTCCGGGTTTCGCGGACTATCACAGCGAAGCATACTTGCCTTGATACTGGCAAAGAACCACCCCACTGGATTAGGCAGAGCTGATCCTCGAGCTCAGGCCTTAAGAATAACGACGAGCGACAATTGAGCTCAGCGAATAACGTGTTAAGCGCACGAGAAACTCGGCGCCAACTCCACCGCATCACTCTGCCATCTTGGTTTCGTCATCTTTCGATCGTGAATACTAGCTGTTGGTACCTTCATCTAGGCTTGACAACACTAGGAGACAATTAAGAGCAGGTATGTTGCTGTAGGTCATACATGAAGGAAAACCGTGGAAATACATTATCGTTCAAGAATTCAGTGTCTGACAGTGCATATACATTTGGTGGACCCAACTGTCATTTGGACCAGAATGTACGCTTGAGTTCAAACCATTGAAATTCCTTCTAACATCCATATGTCTCAGTGCATCTCGACCAGTTGTACATCACACCTAGCATGCCCTCATGCGCACTATGCTGCAGGAGCTGTCACGGCCAACGTGATCCACCGGGTTCGGTAAGAGAAGGCCCATTCAACTCCATTTATAACTTTTTAGCTGCGGGGACACTATCCCTCGAACTCATATCTACAAGTTTTCCCTGCATCCATCGTCATGCGCAGGATGGCTGGCACTACTACCCGGGCTATGCCGCCGCAACCCATATCATCTCTCCTAATCATCATGCCCTCCTTCACGAGCTCGATTTTCTCACACAACACTACTTCCTTGTTGCGACATGTGCTGTGGCCAAGATGTCCCCAACCTTATACATTCGCATATACCTCATTCCGTACGACCTGGAAAACGTCAAAGGAAAGCTCCGAATGCGTGACGAGGCGGTACTCGTACAGGCACGACGGTACATGCGGAGCCTCCTGAGCGAACTTGTCATCGATGATCACAATTGGGACGCAGAGCCAATGGAATCTATGTCTGCTAGACGACATTTCCTTGACCATAGCATTGTGCATATACTTCTACCTTTGCATCATGCGACCCATTCACTGATGCCTGTTTTTAGGATAACCGGACAATGGCAGAGATTTACAGTGACCTACCCTCCCCCGAAACTCCTGTAGATGACTCCCTGCACAACATCCCCGGCATGTGCAGCACACTCTATTCATACCAGCGGCAGTCAGTTGCAACGATGCTCGCCCGAGAGTTGCATCCACCACTTGTATCTGATCCGTTGTACATCCCTATTTCAGGGATTGATGGTGATGTGTTCTTCCTGCAGCCTGCGACAATGGAGATTCTTCGTGAATGTCCGCAGGTAGAGCAAGCACGTGGTGGGATTCTATGTGAAGAACTAGGTATGTTTTTTTATCAAAAAATGAATCTAACCATGCTGAGATGGTTAGGCACGGGTAAAACTGTCATGATGCTCGGGCTCATCCTCGCCACCCTCAATCAGCTGCCCTGCCCAGAGGAGTCCATCCTTGACGAGCGTCCCATCCTTACTCCACTCTCCCTTCGCCATTTCCCATCTCCGGAGTGCGTGCTTGCGCGGAAGCGGCTTTCGTCAGGGCACAAGAGTAACAAGCTGAAGACGTCGGGAGAGATCCCATCGCTGGTCGAGTTGTTGGTTCACTACTGCCGTGTGCAACCTGACGGGCTCCGCATACGCGAGTCTCAGGACGAGCTGGAGCAGCGGCGGCTCTGGGCACCGATCATTCGCAATACTCCATTCTATTTCCAGTTTGATGTCCCTATCGACGAAGATGCGCGGCCGCGAAGGAGAAAAGTTGATCCTGGGCCGAAGGTGATGTATCTCTCCACTGCGACACTGGTTATCGTGCCCGCCAACTTGCTTGCACAATGGGAAAATGAGACGATGAAACACTGCCACGATGTCCTCCGCCTTTTGGCGCTTGATAGTCGCAAGCCTATCCCGTGTGCATCTGAGCTGGCCTCAAACTTTGATGTCAGTGTCATCCTCTGCTCTGCGTGCATTGTACTCAAATACTTTGCAGATCATCCTGATAACTCAAGCTCGTTGGTCCCTTTCTCTATCCTGCTTGTCCTTTTAATCTCACTACTCTCAGGATTTTCTGCCGAGGCTCAGAAGAACAACATTTCAAAATTACAATCGTGGAGGGTTTGCGGCTGTCGGGCGCATGCTAACGGACCGCGTGTTCCCCGATGCCGATGCGAGAGCCCCACTGACGTTTCTCCGCTACTACAAATTCGCTGGAAGCGGCTTATCATTGACGAAGGGCATGTTGCCGCCTCCTTGGTGACAAACATCACTCCATTCGCCAAAGCTCTTAGTGTTGAACGGAGATGGATTGTGACAGGGACACCGACAAGTTAAGTGTCTCGTGTACCTCATGCACCTTTTCACTGATCTCTAGTGTTCTAGCCAATTTGTTGGGTTTGCACTTTGGGCAAGGCAGTGAACTGCAGTACCCAGCAGACGAGCATCCCGAGGACACCTCTGAGATTCTCGACACGGATGAATCTGACGTCCTGGCACGAAAATGGACGAAGGATGACCGCGAGGACCTGAACAAGCTCGCAAACATGGTCATCCACTTTCTCGGGGTTCCGATGTTCTCGCAGGCTGCAGGCACACGACCGTTTAACACGCACGTTATTCAGCCTCTGATGGAATCCTCGGGTCCGCGCCCTGGCGCAATTTGTGTTCTGACCCAGGTGATGAGTATGATCATGATACGGCATCGGCGAGTATCACTTTTCATGTTTAAATTTTGTAGAATAATTGATCATGCATGGCCTCAACAGGATTGAGGATGTCGAGCGTGACGTTTTACTGCCATTATTGCGTCAAGAAACGATTGCGTTAGATCTGGATCCATATGCCATCAAGTCGTACAATGCCTTGCAAGCTGGTATTGCAATCAATGCTGTTGATTCGGAACGTTCGGACCAGGTAAATCAGATTGTCATAATTCGGGATCCATCATTGCTGATTGCGCTGGTACAGGACTATCTTTTCCATCGCCAGGTGCGGTCCCTCCGAGATCCGAGTACTAATCATTGATATATGTTTGCTGGTAATAGAATGCCGAAATGCTGAAGGTAACCATAATGAACATGTCTGAGTACGTAAAGCCAATATGGTGCATTGCTATGACTGTCCTGATTTGTTCTTCAGAGTCCTGTTCTGGCATGTGGATAGCGAGAGGCTATTCAATGTCGATGAAATGGTCGAGCGGTCTGCAAACTTCATGGAGACTATGCAGAAACGAAATACCTCCATTATCGACATCAAGCTTATGACACGGGCACTGGAGCATGTGTGTGTAGCCCTCTTTCTTTTGCTTATAGATCTATACCAAACTTGCGTGGCTTATCTCTTAGGCGGATTGCGGCAGTTGATCCCATCTGGCGCTCACTGCAAGCACAGCCCGACGTTCTACATCGTATTTCTGGGATGCCGAAGGCCATATACGAAGTCTGCACAGTACTACCTGCAAGCACGTTCTCGTCTGATGTTTATCTCATCACCTCCGAGCGACTCATCGACCTGCGCAAGTTCCTCTATCTACAACCCCTGGCGCGCACCGAGCGCATTATCGAGTGGGCGCAGCATGCAAACGAGGAACTGCAACATCGTATTGCATTTGCCCAGGAAACGATGAAGGTCACGAAGCGCGCAAGAAAGCCGAGCAGCTCGAAGCAACAGCTGATGATGCTGAAGCAGGGTGAGTCCAAAGAGAAGAAGGACGAGATGCACAAGGAGTGGGAAGCGGTGCGAGCGAAGCTGAAGGCTTTGGCTGAGGATGACGGATATGACCGAGGGAACCACATGTCTTCCCGCAATGGGGTAGAGGATCACTCGCTTACCCGACGACATGGGGTGCGTGCGAGATTCCTCTCCTCGTCGCCTTTGGCGGGTATGCAGATTGGCAACTCTACCTCTTCAAAGCTCAATTACATCTTGAATGAGGTGCGTCCCCATTTCCATTTATGCGATTGGGGATTTTTAATCTGATGGTTCTCTACAGGTTGGTCAATTCGCGTCAACGGAGAAGTTCTTGATATTTTCCAACTCTCCCGCCACTCTCAATCTGGTCAGAGAAGGACTGGAACTAATCGAAGTGAAGTACCTGGTGTACACTGGCTTGACACCTCTGGAACGGGTGACACCGAAGGAGCGCGAGCAGCGAGTGACCACGTTCGAGACGTCAGATACATATCGCGTCTTTCTCATGGAGCTCAAATACGGTGCTCGTGGGCTGTTTGTCTTGCATCTTGTTTCCTCAGATATGAATTTCTCATTGGTGTCACAGAAATTTAGTTGCGGCCTCCAGGGTCATATTTTGTGAGCCTGTCTGGCAGGCGGATGTCGAAAGTCAGGCTGTCAAGGTATGTATCTTCTTTTTACTCATAGATCAATCCGGCTGATGTTCCTTAGCGTGTCCATCGTATAGGGCAAACACGCCCTGTCACGGGTAAATATTTTCACATTTCCATCATTTATCAAAACTGAATCCTGCCCAGTGAAAACCCTTGCCATCCGGAATACCTACGAGGAGGTGATGGTGACCCGGCGCGAGGCACTGAAAGCGGGGAATAGCAAGCAGCCCGGGTTAACGGATGATCGACGAATGCGGGATTTTATTGCGGTGAGTCACAGAAAGTACATTGCAGTCGTGGATTAACCAGAACTTGGTACAGAATCCAACATTCCTTTCCTCACCGGCCTCTACAACGGAGCCGCTTGACCTCCCTTTTCTCGACATTCCGCGTGGGCGCACTGAGAGGTCCGAGCAGATGGCATCCCCTCCTGTTGCGCACAGAGAGCTGTCCTGTGTGAACTCCTGTGGAGATGTCGGTCCTCTCATGACGAAGAAATCTCGCGTTCTTTTTGCGGACGAAGTGGAAGCTCGCACTGCACTTGAATTGCGGCCAGTGGATATAGTCAAAAAGCGGAAAAAGAAGTCTCTTTTACAATTTCCGGATACAGATAACGAGTCGGACGAGGCGGATGGCCCTTCGAGAAAGAAGGTCCATGCTGTTCGATTCGCAGATGACTCGCTCACTCATTCGAGGCCGTGAAAGGGGCAGGTGTGGTGAGGTTTTCAGCGGATGCTTGACACATCTTTTGCTTTGTTCATGTTTCTTGCTATCTACGTGCTCTCTGTATTTTCTTGTGATATTCCACGTCGTTCGTATAATTCCGATCTACCATTTCTCGCGCTCTCAATGAAGATATCTGACAGGTTGCAAACGAAAATATTGGTACATTCGTAGTACCCAGTACTCAACTGTGATAGCGTCAGTGCGCGTACAGTACCGTAACATTCGGATGGAAAACCAGAAAAGAGTTCAGAGAAATGACAAAGAAATAGTGTTCCAGAGATGTACTATCAACGGCAGCGTAGAAGCACACAGGTAAGGTGTTGCACTCCAGCACAACTTATAACAATAAGCCGAAAATCGAGATACGTGGCTTGGCAGAACAGATGTCCAGACATCAGAAAATGGCAACGTAAAGGGAACAGAATAAGGGCGGAAGAAAGGTGTTAAGAAACCAGAGTCAAGATCTAGTATCCCATGCTCGGGTTTTGCGCGGGATAAAGGCTGCTCTCGCGCTGGGACATCCGCCAGTCGCCCGTACCCTCTCCTACGTACGCGAGTTGCTGCGGATTCTGCAGAACTGGCGCTTGCACGCCACTTGCGTTCGGCCGCTGGCGTTGGAGACACTCGAGCGGGACGACGCCCTGCTCTCCGCGCATGTTCGCACAACGGGCCCACCCATCATCATACTCCGCGACCATGCGCACCATCTCGCCCGCGCTAACTGACAACTCGTCGGGGAGACGAGGGACGAATGCAGATTTAATCAGCGCAAAGGCAGTCTGTCCACCTGCGGCAGGGGCAGCGGATGGCGTAAGAGATATCGGATGGAATTGTGGCGCAGCGGACGGCAGGACGGCAGGGGCAGGTGTATTGTAAGCTGTCGGCGGAGCCGCTGGAAGGGGAACGAAAGGTATCGCAGGCGGCGCTACTTGACGTGACATCTGGGAGTACGGATTAAACGGCTGCATGACCGCTTGCACCGGAGGCGGCTGCATTGCGCGCTGTTGCAGAGACAGAGGCTGCATCAATGGTGGCTGCATATCTCGCCGTTGCATCGGGGGCGACTGCACCGGCGGCTGCGCGCTGCGGATCGAAAAATTGTCGCGATTGCTCGTGATGAACGATGGTACGCGGGAGAGATCAGACACGTTACCACCATCGGCAGGCTGGGCGGGCCCCGACGAGAACGCGTCTATTGCCCATGAATTCCTGCGCTTCTGCCGCTTGTAGAGGAAGCGCTTGCGGACGAAGTACACGATTAGGAGGAGGACGACCGCGGCACCACCGGCGACAATGCCGCCGATCGCACCGCCAGAGAGGCCCTTCTTCGCGACGGCAGTGGATGAGGACGCATTTGAATTATTGAAGGTGGTCGGAGTGGGTGACGCAGTGGAGGAGATGAATGTGGCAGATGGGATAGAGGGTGTTGCGGTCGCGGATGAAGATTGACTGGAAGTTTCCGGGGAAGAAGCGTGAGACGTAGACATGCTGCTCTGGGCAGTCGAGGATGCGCTAGAAGAACTCGAAGGGGCACTGGAAGAGCTCGGGCTCGAGTGCGAGCTCTGAGAAGCAGAGCTGGCAGAGCTTGAGCGAACGCTGGAGGACTGATTCGGAGGGGAGCTGGTAGCTTCCGATGTTGCCGAGGAAGACGATACGCCAGATGACGATGGGGTGATCGTCTCCGTAACGAACACGGGCACGGCGATCCCGCCAATAGTGGTCTCGCTCAGTACCACGGTGACACTGGGCTTCGAGTTAGCACGAGCGTCGAGCTCATGTGCGCCGCGAGAGAAACGCTTGAGGGTCGAATGGCCTCGCACCGCGGGCATGTTTGCAAGGAATGTGTAGGTGATCTCCTGGAATGAAGTGAGTTTTCAATAGACACTCAAGGGGCAGAGGGCACACCGTTTATAACACTGAAGGAGCGCGTACAGAAAGAACGGAGTTAGTAACTGAATGTTCTTGTTAACAGCTGTAACCGATAGCGTGCACCGCAGGAGCGAGGAGTACAATAACCCACGCCACGCCTACACATTAGGCTCTCAATAACGATACACCTCGCCTCATGCAAAACTTCTCTTCCTACGACGAACATCCTACCGCAAAATGAAAAGTGAGAACTCGCCTAACTGTGCCGAGAAGTCATCCGAGGTCTCTGGAGAACAAGGGCGCAAATCCGTGAGATCGCCAGAAACGAACGTATGTAGAGACAAGACAGTGGTTCAGACTAAGAAGGGGACGACCACAGGTCGTCGTCGGTGCTGAAGCAGGAGTTAGCTTTCGCCTCGGGCGTGCTCGTCGCCGTCGTCGTGGCGGTTGTCGTTATACAACTCGTGCGAACTTATGAGAGTCTGTCAATAGGCGCCTGAGGCCTGACGTCTCGGAAAAACATGAGGTGAGACAATAACTATAGCAACTCCGAACAAATGTTCACAACACCACCGACATGTTACCTATCAAAGGCTCTCTACAGGCCAGAGGTAAGATGACTACGAGCGACCTTGCAGAAGGTTAACCATGTTCGATCGCACCATGGCGACCAGGAGGTGCGAACATACGTAGATAGCGAGAACTCGCTGCTGAGACATAGAATAAACAGGAAGGCTTTATCTGTCGATAATGGAAGGTTTGTCTGTTGATAGTCACAGTGATTCCTTCAGTCGAGGGATCCGGGCGAGAACACCCCGAAGCATCGCAGGAGTTTTTAAATGTCCTTCACCGTCCTACGGCCGCCGAATCCTAAAAACCGTGGTTATTTGGTAACAGAGTCTCTGCTGCGTGACAGAATTTAAGACCGTTGTCAGGTGGGAATTGCTGAACTTCACTGATGCCCCGTTTTACAAGTGCCTGTGGTGCCCGAGAGGTCACATCCACCTGATCCTGATTCCCGCCAATCATCACCAAACAACTCGGATTGATAAAAGGAATAATCCCCACGCTCTGTGTCGTTCTGTCATCCGTGTCGACCGCAGCGATATGCTAAACGAAGTATCCAGCAAGGGAATCGGCTCTGTGAACAGATGGCGGTGAGGGAGTCCATCCATCAGGAGCGGCTGAAGCTAAGAATTGGTATGGAGTTCTGGTGAAAGACCTTGTCGTAATAAATACGGGCATCAACCGTCCGTCACCTAGAGTACTGAATTTTCCTTTAACTTTCTCAGATGTGTACACAGAAAATAGCAACAAATCAACTTACCACCGTCGAAAGTCGGCTAATAGGGACGCGAAGGGACGCTCCATCCGCTCTTATGACTTACGTCCGAATTTGGAGGGGTTACTGGGACGAGTTCTCAATGCATTGTGCTCCTAACAGCGGTGCGGAAGAGCTCGTACATTCCATGCAGACAGGAAGACCTTAGGATGTGTCAGCATGATAAAGGCTGCTTCTTTCAGAAACCCTTCTGGTTTAGGGGCATGTCATCTGTAAGCCAGCGGTAGAAGAATCAAAGTCGTTTTGAGTGAGTGATTCTGAATACATGCCAGTGGTCCGCGTCGCTGCATCGACCGTCGTCCTACTTGGACACATAAGGAGATTGGCCGGCACAGTTCTCGTGCTTCTATGTTGCCAAGTACGGGTCGATACACAAATGAAGCGACGCTCCGGCGACTAATTCAATGCTCAGGCGTCTGTAAGGCGTCGACGTGCTCATGGACTTTCGGATTGCACAGTTCGTGGGTTCATTGCCAAGTTGTGCGGATGCAAAAATAGTGTGGAAAGGATCACGCTGGCACTGGAAGAATCAAGACGATCTGTGGGATGTGTTCTGATATTTCGGAGTCCGGCTGTCCACTGGTCACGCTCACCATCACGTGCTTCTGTCACGTCGCGCCCTGCCAACAGATTCAATCGCCTGCCCTTAGATTTCAGTTCTCTGGCACTGTTTAAACGCGACATTCGACCGAGTAACCCAATCATCTATCGTCCGATTCTGGTTTTCGTTTTTAATTGCTGAAACTCCTGGTGGTACCGGTGATACTGCAACTGAGGTAAGAGAAGAAAAGGAGAGACAAGCTGTCCAAGAATTTCTGTTGCAATGACATTGCATACCGCGTTCTGAGCGGGTTCTTAGATAATTAGAGGTGACTCTTTTGTCTTTTAGATTTTTTGTCCAGTGCTCAGTGTAGCCCAACAGCCGAAACACTGCTGAAGCAATACTTATTGAGCCACCACTGTACACGTTTACATCTCATCATTACCTTTGTTTTATACGCGGAGCCCTTGTCACTCGTGCACTACGCGCGCATGCATATCACGTCCTCAACACTGGAACCTGGTAGTGTTTCCGATTAATCGTACAAGTTTGAGCAGCCTACGGAGAAGCCGACTTAACTCGCGGAGGCAAGATACAAAGTATCAAGGTTCGTTGCAAACAAATAGTCTCGTGTCCGTGGCTCGTTGTTCATGTTCGCAGTAAGGACCTCCAGATACCTCAGCTCATTGAGTAGATACCAATAGCCACTCTCTCGAGCGTATTTGGCATGTTTCTATCCTGCTTCCTTAGCAGCTGGCATTGGATAGGCTCAGGATTCTCATTATGGAGGCCGCTTGATTCCGCTTGAAGACTGCGTCCACTCGGCGGACGCCTATCCTCTGTGCCTGGCACCCTGGGATGACTGAGCTTAGCTATCCAAGTGAGCAGATCTCTCACGCTAACAGTTCTTTCCCTGACCTCCAGCGCACACAGATGTCGCTCATATTCTCCTATACGCGCAGGTCACTCTTGCAACGAATAACACCTTGCACAGTCAACAGCAATTTTTATCCTGAAGTGAAGACGAAGTGCGTTTTGCACACGGCTTCACAATCAAGGTCGCTCCGCTGATATTTCCAGGGTTCAGCGCACGTGCTCCATGCTCGTCTCGATGCCAATGACACACGCTTTCCTTCTCTCTATGAGCCTAGCTACTCCACTACGGTGATTTTCTGGGTATGTCATATTTTATTCCGCTCTTAGGGGCAATGTCTTGAACATTCTCATCTTGATCGACCCTTGCAGTGTGGAGAGGGCCTCAAGCTGCAGTCTCGATGGTTCTGGTCTTGCCGCAAGGTGATGTCTACTTGCATTCCTTGTCATGGATTCATTGGCACGGCGTTGTCACATTGTGAGGCGGAGATGAGAGAAGTCACCTTCAAACCGGAGAGTGAGTAAAATTTCTCCCCTGACCGCCCATCAGGACGGTGCGTTGTATCCAAACGTCCTTCTTTCGGTCTACCCTTAGGATCACAATTTTCACTTTCAAGTAGATGCATAGATGACAGGCAATCACCTTATTTCCGCTGAGAGCCACTCAGGTTCAGAGGTCACCGACGAACTTAGCCGTCGCATGCTGCCACTTCCATTGCTTCAGGCGCACATCGGCGGCTACGCAGATTCTCTGACTGCTGATACGAGCCCCCAGCGTTAATGGTCTGCGATTTCTATGGTAGCATGAAAATGCTGCATTGGTGCAAATTCCTCAGTGACAGATTAAATTTTGAGCATGTCGTGATACAGAAAGCAGCAAGTGCTGTCATCGGTCACATGTGAGCTCCATGGCCAATGCCAATGTCTTTGTTCTCTCTTTCACCCTCCGACCTCCCCTCCCCTGGCTGAGGACGTGGTGGTGACACTGAAGGTGATTCACGCTTGTCGGACGCACTGTGTACAGTTCGATATTCACGAGTCAAATCGGTTTAGCTGACATTCTGAACAAGATCTTGAAGCCCTTTGTCAGATCACCCTGATCGTCTTTCAAAAGCTGTAATACAGTGCGTATAAGTCGAACTGCTCGTCCGTGCCATTTATGAATAGTTCTCCTCAGCGCTCTATTCTAGCAGGTTGTCATAAATGGTGAAGGAGCTTCCAATGGAGTTGATCGACAACATCGTCGACCACCTATGGGACGACAAACCCTCGCTCTGTAGATGTGCTCTTGTCAGTCCCACATGGCTCCGGACAAGCCGATATCATCTTTACCGCGGCAACGCATGTCTGTCCTCCAGCAAAAATTTGGAATCTCTTGTCGCCGCGTCGAAAGTCTCACACGTAGCGGCCTCGCTGCGTTCCATGGGCTCACTATGTCTCGAAGATGGTGATCCCGCCTGGGTGCATCGATTTCCCCTCGTTCTCGGTCGGGTCCTGTCAGAGATCCAGGAGTTACACATTTTCAGGCTCACCTGGGAGGTGGTTGTGATGCATCCCGATACCCTCACAATCGGTCTCATGCAGTTTCATCGTGTCACACAGTTGGGGCTGTTTGATTGCTCGTTTCGCAATTTCCGGCAACTCCAGCGCCTCATCTGTGCACTACCTCAGCTGCGGGACCTGAGAATCAGCAGAGTCTCCTCGAAGAAGCCGTCGCTACTTGCCGCCGAGTCGATGTTCCGACCTCCGCCACTCACCGACGTCTTCCTTTATAATATTGTAGACCAGCTGCTGGCATCGGACTTCCTGGATTGTCTGGTGTATCCTTCATCGGTGACTTTGCGGTCGTTACGCTTGGAAGTACCGCGGAAATTGATACCGCGTGTGGTGACGGTGTTGGATGCTGCCAAACCCAGTCTGGAGCATTTACATCTGATCTTAGAAGAATCAGTCTCTGCATCCGATCGTGAGTTGGTGTTCCACATACCTCGATGGCACGATAACTCATGTCTTGCAAAGTGGTGGAGTTGGATGTCCGCCGATGCACGGCGTTACGCAGGCTGGATCTCACCTACGTGCACAGAATGTCCTTGGCAGACATCTTGCGCCTCGTACCCGATAGCGGCATTGGCCAGCTATGGATCAGTATGAGGCCGGGAAGCGTTAAGCGAGAGTGGCAGAGCGCGAGCAATATACTGGGGGAGAAGCGCTTCAGCAAGTTGCACGAGTTTGGGATTCGGATTCTCGACGAGAGTCTTTCCGAGGAGGAGAAACAGCAGATCAAGGACGGGTTTGAAGTGTTGCGTGGTCGAGGGGTGAAGGTGGTGATGCATTTTGATTGATCCCGGTAGTCTTGTTGCGTTCGCAGCTGGTCCAGCTCCAGCCGTCGAACCGCGGAGCTGCAGGTTCTCAGTTGGCGCTTCGCAATGGGACGTAGGGAATAGCAAGATCTGTAAATCGGTTGATCGATCTCAGTTTCGCAGCGTTTCTGCCTATACTCTGGAACTGAGTACTGCACTCCCGCACGGGAACGTCTCATGGTCTGGCGAAACTGAGAAATGCCTTACCACCCATCCACCGGAGATCCTGTGCATCGTTGCGTCCGAGTGCCGAATCCAGAGCTTGCTCGTCGGCATGGACCGGGCGCTTGGGGGTGTTGGGCATGCTGGTCGAAGACGAATGTCTTCGTGCGTCACGGAAGTTCGAAGCCTGTATGTATATCGGCAGGCATATTATCAGACAGTGACACTAATCTTTGCATGACCAGTGGACGCCAGACGCTCATGACGCGCATCCGGCAACTTGCAATTAAGTTCAACCGTGTAGACACAGAGGGGGCCGCGACGCCTCATGCTCGACATGCTCCGCTTGAGCGCCCAGCTCAGGCTATGTATATGAGTATCCATCTGCTTCTCACTGTTGCCTTGCTTGCAACTCCCCCATGGCTTCCCATTCGTCTGCTCTTAAGAGCATCACAATTGCCAATCCGGTGCTCCAGGCATCCGTGAAAACTGTCCTCGCCGAATCGCTTGTATGCGGCGAGTTCGTGGATGTTCGGTTCTTCCTCTTCACGCGGCGGCAGCGCTCTGGCAAAGTGTGCACCCCTCGAGCACTGTATGCGAATAGCGCCGTACTGAAGGCGGCGTCGCCGTACTTCGTAGGAAGTAAGTGATCTTGCTTGAGGTCGCCAGCCAGTCACACTGACCATGCGAGTACGCGGTTTCCGCTTGGCAGTGCTCGCTGGTGGATTTTCGGAGAGCAGTGTCACAGGAAAAGGCACTGGATTTCCCGCCGATCAGCCATCTGTCATGAAAGCCGACCCGTATGCTGCCGAAGACAGTGACTATGAAGACGAGGACGAGGACGACGAGAGTGGCGATCCCAAGGCTGTTCAGGATATGCGCGACGAGGTGGCGTCAGGATCTAATGCAGTACATTTAGGTCATCAATCGATCAAGGGCCAATAAAAATATTCTTTCATTTAGAAAGCAGCTCATCCGGCCCATAGTATCCCTCCATCGCCCGCATCTGCAACTGCTATTGAACAGCCGGGAGGCCGGCCGCTGCGCACGATTGTGATCAAAGATGCCGCACTTACGACGTGGGTACCATAGTTGGCATTTCTCTTATGTGTTGTATACTCATTTACCATTCGTGCAGCTGGCAGTGGCTCGTCTATTATCTGTATACTGGCGAGATTGCATTTGCGCCCTTACAATCACAAGGAGCGGAGTACAGAGCCACTGAGCGCAAGCGATACCAGACTGAACACCCGCAACATCCACCGTTGTGCTCTCCCAAGTCTATGTATCGCCTCGCAGATATGGTGGGTGCGTCATTCGTAAATACCTGACATATTCACGTATGTCCTATGTCCGACAGATCTCTCCCTCGATTCATCGACTCGACGAAAATATAGCTAGATTCTTCCGCTGCTGCAACAGATGGTACAATTAAGCTCGCATAGTAGGATCTTTGGAGACGGTTGTGCAGCTCCGAGAAAATATCCCTCTGTCATATGAGGCTCTTTTGCTAGGTGCCTCAAGTCTTCGTTCGCAATGTTGATCAAGTTGCTGTCTGCACCCTTTTTATGACGCGTGACGTTGCGTGATGGACGCGAACGACGACGACCGCAACGTTGAACGCAGGCTTGAAATCAACTGCGCGCTCGCGAGGCGTCTGGATCAGCAGCATGGTTCTTGCCAAGTCCTGCAGAGTGGGGAATTATTTGGCTGGGTGTTGCTCTGCAACGTTTCTTCGTTGCACTGGGACAGTTGAGCCATCCCGACTCCTGCCACAAGACAGTGCAATCGAAGGAGATGGTGGAAGGCGTACACTCAAGATGCTCGATTTGCACTCTGTAGTGTCGTCTGCACACGCGGCCAGACCAGGAACTCACATTAATGGCTGGTGCAGACGGAGACTATGATGGACTTGCACAAGGATACGACAGACGCGAGGGCCAAAACACCTCAAGTCGTCACGACGCGCGCCCACGATCATTGTGAGCGAGACCACCGAACGCCACGCAGTCCAGACGCGTCAGAGCATGCAAAGGCAGGACGTGCCCTTCTGCCTTCATTTACAGCTTTGTATTAGGCCAGGTCCTGGAACTAAGGACGTCGCCACTGTTAGTAAACTGAAGTAAGCAGGGGAGAAAAAGTCACCGTAATCGATTGCTGCTCTGGGCTCTGCACAATCCCCTGAGGCGTGAATCACTCTGTCCACAGATCCGCCGACAAGCGCTGCGGCCTGAAGCAAAAATTGCAAGGTGTGGAGAAGAAGGTAAGCAGCACGATCATGAGCGACGAATGGAGGATGTTATGTCCTCGCGGCACCGCCCTAACAACTACTTCTCCGCGTTCTATACACATGATCTCTTCATATAATTTATACGGAGGGAACATGTAGCATAACACTCGCGCTGTATACCATTCATTCCGCCACGGGAGCCGTAGCAAGCAGATCTCTGTCCTGGGAGGTGGGCGTGGGCACGGAATATGGCGAGGAGAGCGGATGAAGGACGGTAGGGAGTTCTCTGGAAATGATAACGCTATTGGGTAGCCCTTATGGCAATCATACATTGGACGTGGAGAATGAACGGCGTATCTTTTCCCCAGTTCACACCTCCATCGGGGGCATTTCGAACTGAGAGCGTAGATCGAGATGAGGCTTGAAATTTGAAAGCTTGACATCGTGAATGAGATAATGCCGCTTCTAAGCTCTGGGTCCTCGAGATTTTTTGGGCAGCTACAGACAGATGGGTCCGTCTGAGAACAAGAAATCACAGATAGGTAAGCTCCGGAAAAAACGTAGCATGTCTGGACTGCTTCGTGTAAGAATGACTCCAACACAGTAATGGAGAGTCTCTCATATGAAGAGTTCACGAGGCATCTCTGGCCATGGTAAGAAGACAAGTTGCTGAGCGCGGAGTGGTGAAGAACAGCCGCCAGTAATACATACTAACGACGAGTCCCTGCAATAGAGCCCGGACCGAGAGCCGGTACTTGTGTCCCAACTTGGCAGCCACCACTATTCGACATTTGTCGTTCATACGACCGTTTTGACTGCTCTGCTTCACCTATTTTCACTAACCATCGTGGACATCGGTAACGTGTTATCTCACACACTGTGAACATCGGGCTGGGCGACTTTCGCCCAGCCATCTACCCAGAAAAGCAATCAAATTCCCCACATTTTTGAGCTAAATTCACCGGTTTGCCGCAATATTCAACTGTTCTCTGGGTGACACGAAGTGGTGAATTTCGCCTCGAATATGACGCATTTCACCAGTTCCGTTCTCACCATCCTTTACCAGCTATTTCACCCAATTAAATGGTGATTCTATTCTACCCATGTAGTGGTTAATTCTCGATTGGTGTTTTCCACCCAATTACATACTGAAATTCGCTCTCCATGGTTAGAGTAAGTCACCCTTTTCTTACCCACAGCCGAGTGAAACATAAGAGCTTTCTTGCATTGTCCACGCTCACGATAGAATAGCACCGTGGGTAGAATACTAGTGAAATAATGGGTATATTCTGAATGCACAAACACATATGCACCCGAAGATAATATTAGTAAGATCGACACATGCACCAATGATTCTTGGGAGATGACCGCTAATGTTCCTACACTTGAGTTATCGGCAGCACCGCCCTAACGATTGAGACAGATCGCGACATCGACAAGAGGATAATAGACTGTTGTGGGTAGAGTGGATGAGTATTGCCATAATAGGAGAAAGAAGCCCTGTACCTGTCAACGTCTCGGCATGTTCAGTTCGCATGTTCCTCTTCCCCTGCTCCATCAGCCCTGTCGACCTCGACTGATTCATTCTCCTCCTCGCCACTTGCTGAGCTCTGACCCATGGCCACCAGAGGACGCCTGTTTTCTTTTCGGGTGCTTCCTCCCTTGCGTGTGTCGCATTTCGTACTGTTCGAGGTACCACCCTTCTCGCGTGACCCGCCGACATTGGCTCCAGGCATCCCCTTCATTCACACATTGCGCGGCTCCAGCGTTCCTGTGCCAACAGCATATTTGCACTTGTTGCGCATATACTGCTTGATGATCTCAGCTGTCGGCCAGTCGTTGATCAAGTCTCTCATCATTGTCTGCCGTGTCTGCGTAGAGAAGTGTTGTCATGAGTACATCAGCACGGGTAAATGGCGCCATACTCACCACTTTGTATACCATACCTAATTTCTCAGCAGGTTGCTTCTTGAAATCCTGGTGCCAATCAAGACTGGCACTGAACATGTTCTCACGCACGGTGCGCTAGCAGTAATTTGAAGTAAGTGATCTGCATGAAGGATAATGTGAGCATGACTAACTAGGATTGCTTGGTACTGTGCGTCATTGTCCTCCAGCCCCATCTCAACCTGCAGGTTGAAGCCTGCGCCAGCAGAGCTGGGCGGCTTCGGTATTAATGTCTTCTCTTTGACCTGTACAGCATTACCGGTTTTTGCGTGAAGCTCAGCCACTTCATGCAAGGATTTCTGCTCTGCTAGCTGGGCTGCCAGTGTATATGTAATTGTGAGTTCATATCTGACGTGAGCTGCTAGCAAAAACTCACCTTGCAGCTCCTCCACACATTTCTGTAGATCACTGGTGACGTCGTTTGCTGCCGAAGTGGGATCACTCGGCAGTCCTGCGATGGCCTTTGCTGCTCTACTTCCAGGATTACCATTCTTTTTTTTGCCCTTTGCGGTGCCCTTGGGCTTAGGAGCAGCCTGCTCATTGGTGATCCTCGGCAGCATGGTAAGATATAACTGGTGCAATTTCTATGGGTTATTTGCTGAAGGACTATGCAGGAGGGTGCAACGTGAGCATTGTCAACATTGGGGTGCTCGCGTTGCCATTCGGACTTAGCAAAATCTGGGAACTTTGTTTGTTGGAGTTTGGCATGTTGTACTGCCTGTGGTGGCTCTCCTGTACTGCATTGCACTCAATATATAACACTCTGATCTACTCTACAAAGCTGCTGGCGAGATTATCCCATGGGCCGGAAGAAGAAGCCAACTACATGACTGGTGCTATGTGCATGCGGCTGCGGCAGAATGGTGTCACGAAGCACGGAACATTGCCATCGAGCAGGGAAGGTTGCGCCGAGAATCCATGCACTATCAGCATTGAATAGGTAGGTGTTCAAGAACTTGAAGAAGCATCAGGTATGACTTTGTAGCATGTGACGACAGACTTGCTCGGGTTTGATTGTTGAGAGACATCAGCAGGCAGCAGTGGAAGTGGAATTAGACATTGAGTACAGCGAGACTGATGATGCTGCACCTGATGTTAGAGCCTTGGATGAGAAACTGGGTGCAGTGCCAATACCAATGGATGTGGGCTATGCTGCGGGGCCTGATGGGCCACAGTACCTTGGCGGAGATGAAGCAGGCCAGGAGGTTGAACCCGAGGACTCTGCAGTACAGAGCGCAGTGGCCACCGCACAGACTGAGACTTGGTGTAGGCATACACAGTGTGCACAGGTGGATGACGAGGAAGGGGAAACTTCTGATGATGAAGACAAGGCTGAGGACTATTCAAGTGAGAGCAATTCGGATTCAGACGATGACATCGACGATGAGGGAGGACTCACAGTGTGGGATTGGATGGGTGCAGAATTTGAGGCTAGGGCAATGGCCATCAGTTTGTCCGTGTCTCTTCCATGTCATTCCCTTGTAGACTGAGCTTGTTATTCGGGCTAGAGGAAGAGTTGAATGAAGAGGACAAGGCAATGCTCCGAGCATTTGCACTTAAAGTCGACTCTCACATGACGACACGAACCTATGCGAAGCTACCATTTGTGTTTCCAAATGAACATATCTCCACACTTGGTCAAGCCAAATCTCGCATTGCATTCTTGTCTGGCATCAAACCCCAATTATATGACTGCTGCCGAAATTCATGCTGTTGCTTTGTTGGCCCGCATGCAGAGCTCGAAACATGCCCGTATTGTCATCTGAACCGCTACTGAGCAGACAGGAAGCCTTACAAGCAGTACATGTACCTCCCCTTGATCCCACGGCTCAAGGCATTTCATGTGAACACATCGATGGCCAAGAGCATGCAATATCATGCTGAAGAACATAAACATGATCCAAATGTCATAAAAGATGTATTTGACAGTGAAATATACCGGTCCTTGTGCGGCCAACCTGTCATTGTCAATGGGAAGCTGCTGAAGACAGATATTTTGAAGACTCACGAGATATTGCTCTAGGCCTGTCAACCGATGGTTTCGCACCTTTTAAACGGTGCAAGCAGACGGCATGGCCCCTCATTGCATACAACTACAACTTACCGCCAGAAGTTCGCTTCCACAAAAAAAATATCATTCTCATTGCGGTGATTCCTGGCCCCAAGAAGCCTGCCGACTTTGACTCTTTTCTCTGGCCTCTTGCCGAGGAAATGTTGCAACTGGTAGTTGGCGTGTGTGCATGGGATGTCCTGACAGTGGCCATGTTCGTTCTGCATGCATTTCTCATTCTTGTCGGAGGTGACATCCCTGCGATCTCAATGATCATGCGTATGAAGGGGCACAATGGATACGCACCATGCCGCATGTGCAAAATCGTCGGTGTTCGAGTCCCCAATGCACCTCACAGCCCATATTATGTCCCGCTTGACCGCTCTCGACATCCCGCACCCGGTGCCATCATTTCCTATGATCCCGCAGCGCTCCCGAAATGCACACATGAAGACATACTCACTCAAGCGCACGAAGTGCAAAGTGCACGTACTGATGCCGAAGCCGAGCGACTTGCCAAGGCTTATGGAATCAAAGGTGTCCCCCTCCTCTCATGTCTCTCATCACTCTCTTTTCCACTCTCCTTCCCCTACAATTTTATGCATCTGATCTGGGAAAATGTCATCAAGAATCTTGTACTGCTGTGGACTGGTGAGTTCAAGGGTCTAGATGAGGGAAATGAAGAATACCAGCTACATCCGGACGTGTGGACTGCAATCGGCGCCGCTACTGCTGCTGCCGGCTCCACAATACCTTCAGCCTTTGGTCCTCGGATACCTGATCCTGCTACTGACAAGAGTGCAAGCACGGCTGACTCCTGGTCACTATGGTCTCTATACGTCAGCCCTGTTCTTCTCGCCTGCAAGTTCACGCGCCTGAAGTATTATGAACACTTTATCGAGCTGGTCAAATTACTCCACATGTGCCTGGAGTTTGAGATTAGCAGACAGGATATTGCCATCATTCGAGCGGGTTTTATAAAGTGGGTGACTACGTATGAAAGGTACGTGAAATATCTTGAAACTCGATCTCACCACGACAAGGCACCACTCACAACCCTTGCATATTCAGAATTTACTACCAGCATTCGCCAGAGTGACTCGGGATTTGCCCGGTTACTATCCATGCCCTTCTGCATATTGCTGACAGCATTGAGACAGCCGGTCCAGTTTGGGCGTGCTGGTCATTCCCGATGGAACATTTTTGCGGGTACTTACAGCCTGCGATCAAGAGCCGCCATTTTCCGTTTGCTAGTATCGACAGATACCTCATAGATTCAGCACGTCTGGAGCACATTAAGATGCTGTATGGCATGGAGAAAGAGCTTGCACTGAAGCCGACAGCATCAATGTCAGGTCTTGCTGTGGCAGAGTGTGAGTCAAGCCACAATTTCATATTCCGGCATCATCTGACTGTCGTGATTTCAGACAATACATGTCTGCTGCTTCCACCTCATCGAACAGCTGACATGAAGACTACCCCGCTGATTGAGAAGATTGTGGGGGCTTTGGCAACACGATTCAATGTGACTGCTCGTGTCGCACGTTATGCCTTGCCTGAACAAATAGAGTTGTAGGGAAAAGTACGGATTCTCCCCGATGGTGACACCATCCATGCGGCAGCCTTGAGCAAGCCTCGTGAAGACTGGCATGATGCGACGTATGTGCGAGTAAGTACCATTTCATGGCAATTACTTATCTTCGTTGCAAGGACTAACAATCTGCTTGCTTGTTAGTATGAGGTGTTGGTCGACAAGAATGCCCGATTTCATCGTAGACGCGTTGCTTTAGAAATGCGCACCTTCTATAGACAGCTACAACACATCTTCGCTGTGCGCCTCGTGCCTTCGCAGCCACTGCAACTCACCAAACCGACAACTCTCATCCTTGCCGCTATTAAGTCCTGCCGGATCGAATGCTCCCACAACACACTCGACATACACTTCTTCTCGGACACAGGCGCAGTGGATGTCATCGACATTTCATGCATACAATGTGTCATCGGCAGGGTACTGGATGGTGCTCACTGGGCGATCATAGACTGCAGTGGATTGCTTGCGCGCACTGTGTATGCTGACGAAGTCAAGGACTAGACATACTTACCTGTAGCTACGGTCTTCATAGTTCAACCATCTTGTGGTTGATAATTCATGTTTTTTTGCACTCGCAAAACACTGGGTAATTTTCACTCAAAAAGATACTCAATTTGGTGGACAGAATCCGTGAGTCCACAATCAGTCAAAAGGACTCGAAACTTGGATGAATTGTAATGAGTGAAATTAACTACTCAATTCACCTGGTCCGAGATTCACACATTTTGTGAGTGAATCGGGATTTTCACTTATGTTGTGGCCGATTGTTGCCCACACGTCTTTCATAGTGACAGTGGTGGTGCTCAAGTACAGGCGTTAGATAAAGAGATGAGAGTTGCATCCGGTAATGCACAAACGTTTGCATGACTGGCCATAATTCGAGTGAGACACGTTGGCCTACTCTTGCTCAGCCACGGGCTGGGGAGGAATGCAATTTGATTGTCGCATTGTAGTCTGCTCTGGGAAGTCAGGTCGTGTTCATCGATGGCCTTTGTGAGTCAGCACCCTCACGTCTCTATGTAAAGGCCGTCTAGTAAAAGTTGTCTACAGAGGCTGCCACATCTCTTGTGCTAATATTTCGACACACTTTATATACAGTCACTCTCATCTACTTCGACTCCATTGCCGCAATCACATGTACTGAGTGGTGTCCCTCAGATTTCACGTCCGTTGCATCCTTCGACCTTCTTCGGCAATTAGCTTGCTCAGCAACCGATATGTGCCACCCTTCGATATCATACATGGAAGTAAACCTCGAGCTCAGACATTGCAGCTATCTTTCGACGTGTAAAGGGCGAGCCTTCCTCCACTTACAGAACGTTGTACATCATTCGGGGTTCGGCTGCCATCCTGGTGCAGATTGAACACTGCAAGGATGCTAAGACGCAAGGGGAGGAATTCTGCCTGGGAACTCGCCTCTTGGTATCCCGCACATTGAAATTGTAAACAATGAACTCCATTCTCCTGCCGTGAGCAAATGGCGACTTGGAGGTCTACCGAAGAATGTGCAGTCTGGAAGAAACAATCGTTCACTGTACCTCTGCAGTCACGGTAATATAAAGTATTTTGCCAGTTAGGCTCCATCAAGAAGGTCCGCTCTCACTGAGGGAGTTCGCCCACAGCCGATTTCCATCTTCTCTCGTGGCCTACACGCTCGCAAGAAGTACGCCCCGCGAAGGATCTATGCAAACGGGGCAGTAATCAGCTACATCACAATACTTTATAGGAAGTAAGTAGCATCAAAACCTTCGATCAAACTAGCGAACTAACCCTGTGATAGTCTTTCTAATGTTAGTGCTAGTGGATTTTAGCAAAGTAACTCTCCTGGTATCGACACCAGTTTTTCGTCTGATCATATATCTGTGGTACCCGCTGAACCATCCACATCGGAAGACAACGACCATAAGGAGAAGATGATGAAGACCATAGTGGTGTCAAGGCCACTCGCGATGCGCGCAATGATTCAGGACTGTCACGCTCTACTTTGGTATGTCTCCTACTTTGGTATGTCTCCGTAAAATAGCTCTGCTGTTTGAGCTGGAGTTTGTTGATTTCAGAAAACTATGCGCATGGAGCAAGATATTCTCCTTTTTCCCATGTCCACGCATCCAGACGCAGTCCAGAGCCCGGCCACGCTCATTGTCATCCCCAAAGAGGCTGACCACACAACATGAGCCCCCCGCCATCCTTCATAGCACCGCCCCGTCGAAACGAGAGTCGCAGCCGGCAGTATTTCATCTGCAGGCGAGATTGTGTTCATCGCTTCTCGCGTAAGGCACCGAGTTTCGTGGCTTCAAGTGCGAGCAGTACCTCACTAGATGCAGTGCCTGGCGCTATGCTACCCATATCGACGTATTGCCTCGTGGCTATAGCGCGTGCGCAGAGCTCCGCCCTTCTCATCACAGCCCTGACGACATGCCGCAGCTCCAGCTCGCCAGGTTCTAGTCCCCCGTGGAGAAAGACATCCATGCCAAGCATTCTGTAGACAATGTCCTCGACCTGCTTTTCTATGCTTGGTGCGACGTCCTCGTGATATCTTCATTCGTGCAAGCTGACTGGTGTGCTGCACCTCGAGTGACCGGACATTCTCACCGTGCAGGTGAGGTTCTTCGTGCAGAAGTGCCTGCTCGTTTACATGCTCTCGAAGCTTTTGGGCGTCCCTACAGCGCCCGTATCGCATGCGGCAGAGGGTCTCGTGTCCATCTTTAATAGATAGCTTGCATCCGGTGAGATTTTTTGAGCGCTCTACCATGAACTCACTGTTCAGAAAACTGTCAATAGACTCGCAATGGGTGCCAGACCTAGATCGTACCGCATATCTTGTTGGCACCCCGAGGTTCATCATTCCTGATGTATATTCGATCTCAACTAGTTATTCAACTGTTTCTACACTGATGCTGTTTAAAGATTAATACGCCTACTGATTGCATGAAGATAGGGAGCATGGTGGCTGTACCTTAGATGGCTGAGAAGAGACTACAGAATTCAGCCCCGGCTCGAGGACCCACAGTGACGCTATTGCCAGAGGTAAGGCTGAAGTTATTATCGTATTATTGAGGTTGAAAAATGCTAATAGATCCGCAGGCCGCGAAGGTAGTGTCCACTACTGCTAATCCTTAGTGCATATTTCCCCGACATATCGGATGGAACCGCTGTCAAGCGGGCCCTCAGTGTGCACCATTGCGATTGCTGACACTGTGCTGACCACGTTGATGAGATGGATTTTCAGTCGTCTATTCTCATGCTGAAAGGTTTGCAGATTGCAAGCACTTACATTGTACATTTGCATGGGCAAAGCTAGTCTCCCGTAGGCAGACTACAAAATGATCCCTATTGTTGGGAATGCCTGGAGGAAGCGATCTGATGGAGCCCGCCACAGCGGGGAATAATTATGTAAGGGAACTTTATATAGAATGTATATAAAGAAATCTATTTCGGGAACCCGGCTGAGTAATCGGGTCTTCCCTTCATCTGAGACATCATCGTGATATTCTCTGGGATTTTACCTATTATTCTCAACAGGTTATGAGCCCCAAGACCGTCTAAACCTCGGACTTGTATTCTACTGCTGCTAACGACCAATAAAACTATCCTCACCCATACAAGAAAAACTACCCCTGTTCTGGGTGACACGATGTCGAATGATGACAAGGACATTCCGAACAGTATGTATTGGATCCATCCTCTGAAGGAGGACAACTGGATGCTGTGGAAGAGGCGCATGACTGCATTCCTGGACCAGAAGAAGCTTCTCAGCTACGTCACCAGTGAGATACAGAAACCGGAGCCGAGCGCTAATCCGGATACCAGAGAAGCACGCAATGCTGAGATTCAGAAGTGGGGTGAGAAGGATCAGAGGGCGAGGAATTTGATCATCATGTGCCTGGACGATGCACAGGTGATCCATACGGAAGGAGTGACAATGGCGCATCATATGTGGGATCTGCTTCGCACAGTCAAGGAGCTGAAAGGACAACATGGGATTATAGCATTGAGTCGAGTTTTCTATGATTACCATGCTGATGAAGGCGTGAATATCCTGAAGCACATCGCCAAGCTTCGGGAGATACGCGAGCAATTACAGACGATGGGAAAGCAAATAACGGATGCAGATTTTAATGGGATTCTCATCAAGTCCCTGCCCAGCAGCTGGGACTCATATATGGCATCGTACACTGGCGCGATGAGTTCTCAGCCAAACTCTCCGCCAATGATGGCACTGGAATTGATTGCTGTAGTCATCGGCGAATATAGGTGCCGTCTCGACCGCGATCAGCATGTCGAGCCAGAGCAAGCGCTTACTGCCCAAAGCCAGAAGCGGAAGCGAGACTTGATCAAGAAATGTTCCATCTGTCATAAGATGGGACACACGGCTAGGCTAATGAATGCTGAAACTGAGGCAAGCCCATCTGTTGTTACGCGGCAGCAAAACACGAGCATCTAGTCGAGTCGTCACGAGACAAGGTCTTAGTCTAAGACACAAGTCCGTTCAAGTGTGTAAGGAGCCTAAATCCTCAGGCTCACCAGGGCTGAAGTGAACTCAATGTATAGCCAAAACTAAGCTAAGACTGAGTGTGTACAGCTAGATGGTGAGTGTAGGGGATATAAAGCAACTTGCTTATGTAAGTAGTAAGCAGTCCATAATGAGTAATGGTCATCAGAACCGACCCGTTACACCCTCCCCTACCAGAAACAACCCAGGGGGAAAGAAAGGAAGAGAAGGGGAATAGATGGGGATATGGTAAAGTAAAGTGTACTATGTATAAGGGAAGTAAAGAGAATGTATACCATAAAATAAATGTGCGATGCGCACACTCCCTCCCACTCCAGAAAACCCGTCGGATCCACCTCAGGTTACAGTTCCATAGACAACGATCGGGGGTGTCTGAGGAGACCGCACGCAGTGGTTTGGGAGGCATGGGTCCTGTGGGCAGGCCCACTGCCAGTGCCGGTCGATGTGGCAAATTTGAGAGTCAGGCCATTGAATTTGCAGAGGTGGGATGGATGATAGGGGAGTCGACAAGGTCGACAAGGGTCCCACTTCCCCCTCTCTCATGTCCGATATCCTTGCCAGGCCCGAGCTCTCACGCCACCTCAAGACCATCGTGCCGAGTCAGGACCAAAAAAACTGACCCCAAAAACTGGTAGGGGAGAGTGCGGGGGTAAAGGAGGCTGAGGAGAGGAGAAGGGAGGAGAGGAGGCCGGAGAAGAGGGTGAAGGAATGGCTGCAGCGCTACCAGGAGCAGGAGCTGAGGAAGCAGAACGCGCGAGGTATGCCCGCCCTGCCATCTCCCACAGCACCGCTGCCATGCACCCACATTACCGGGCGCCCAACGATGCTGACAGCACCGACGCTCTCATATGCGACACCACCGTGTCGCAGCATACGCACGCGTGCGACAGCGGTGACGCAGGATGCAGATGACGTGCCCGCCACGTCACCAGTGCCAGGGGCGCGCGACCATGACAGTGCAGCACCAATGTGCACGAGCACAGCGATGCAGTGCGGCTGCATGACCGCGCCCGCAGTGGCCTCAGTGCAGGATGCAGACGACGTGCCGGCCATGTCACCAGCGCGAAGGGCGCAAGCCCGCGACAGCCCGATGCCAATGTGCCTCGCTGTCCGGGCCACCAACCGCCCAACAGTGCAGGTGGCGCTGAGCGCACCGACGCACTGCAGCTGCGCAATGAAGCCCACAGCGGCCGCAGTGCAGGATGTGGACGTCGCACCTGGCACACTGCCAGCACCGAGGGTGCGCCATGCGGGCGCCGATACACGAACGCGCCCAGCGCTGCCAATGCCTACAGCATCACTGACACACCGCACCATGCTGATAATGCCAGGGGTGCATACCCAGGATGACGTGCCCACCACGCCGCCAACACTGAGGGCGCGCCATGCCAGTGCCACGACCCAAGAGTGCACTGCATCACTGACGCACCCCATTACCGTGTCACCGATGCACCACACCATGTCACCGGCGTGAGGGGAGTGCGTCCACGACAACGCGATCCCAGTGCGCCCAGAGGTGCACCCCGCTGTCCCCACCGTGAACCACCCGACGGTGCTCATGGACCCGAGCGCACCGCTTGCACACCCCCCTTCTCCGCTGACCACACACCCCGCATCTGACGTCTACGACGGACTGCCACCACTCTCCTGCGCCATCGAGCAGCCAACCTCGATGGCATCAGCAGACCACGATGCAGTGCCACGGCATCGCGCCCAGGACACCCCCGAGGCAGCAGCACCTGTGTACGATGGTGCACAGTTGCTGCCCCACCCGAGCATGGTAGGAGTAGAGGTGTCGCATTTGATGTGGTCACGTGTCACATGGTGACACGTCCGTGCCATGTCGAACATTGCATGGGCGACGTCGGCTCCCCAGCGTTCTGCAAGGGCATCGAGGCAGTGGTGAGTGTGCTTGATGGTGGTAAGGCCGTCTTCGCAAGCATAGCACTCGTGAAGGGTGGTGAGGTGGAGGTGTCGCTCAACCAGCCAGTCGGCGATTGTGAGCCAATGAGTGAGGTTGTTCACCTCAACCCATCCTCGCAGTGTGTTGGCAACACAGCCTATGTCACTGATGATGACTGTGACTTCAGAGGTCCTGAGAGGTGTTGCCAGGTAGGTATGATGTGCAGGGCACAGTGAGTGCTCCTGCCCATCCAGCCAGTAGTATCCAGTCATAGCAGAACTTCAGCAGTAGTTCTGAGACTGCAAAAAAAGTGTAAGGAGCCTAAATCCTCAGGCTCACCAGGGCTGCAGTGGACTCAATGTATAGTCAAAACTAAGCTAAGACTGAGTGTGTACAGCTAGATGGTGAGTGTAGGGGATATAAAGCAACTTGCTTATGTAAGTAGTAAGCAGTCCATAACGAGTAACGGTTGTTAGAACTGACCCGTTACAAAGTGACACTTCTGGCGATGTCCTCGCACTGAAGGTCGATCAGAGTTCGTTCTTATGACTCGTAGTAGCTGTCTGCTACCAGTGATGTCAGTTATGAAAGATAATCTTTTCTATCAATAAGTAGCAAATTTTCATGAGAATTACTACTTTTAAGTAGACTTATCTGTAGGTGCATAGATTAATTTAGGATAATCTTAATATAATCTTCCAGATAATCTGAGGATAATCTTCTGGATAATCTGAGAATAATCTGAAGATTGGCAATAAAATACAATTTTAACTTTGACACCAGCCAGGATTGAACCCCGGACCTTAGGTTGATTTTATAGAATATAATTCCAAGTGACACTTTAGACCACTTGACCATTAGGCCATACATCACAACTATCTTATATTAAATTAGACATCTTTTTATTGAAAAAGACTTAGCCAAATTCTGTCTATTAGAAAAGAGTAAGTAAAAGACACTTGACTTTTATCATAGATAGACAAGACTTATAAGCAAACATTACTCTGAGTCTTATAGTCTTTTCTAATGCTTGCAGCCTTCATATAATGTAGTACAATATGTAATTAATAGAATATATGTTTCTACAGTTACTTCAGCAAAACAGAACTTTGCTATACAATTAGAAGATAGCTATAAAGATCTTGTATATATAAGTGCTCAGTCTATAATATAATAGACTCTAGAGTATAAGCCTAAAATGAACAAATAAAATACTGCCTCTCAATAACTTGTTATATATTATAGATGACTATATTAAGATACTCTATAGTACTGCATGATAGTTTACAAAAACTGTAAGCTGTAGAACAAGACTATAATAAGATGCAGAGTACTGTTTGTCTATAAGGCTTGTCTATCTATGATAAAAGTCAAGTGTCTTTTACTTACTCTTTTCTAATAGACAGAATTTGACTAAGTCTTTTTCAAGAAAAAGACGTCTAATTTAATATAAGATAGTTGTGATGTATGGCCTAATGGTCAAGTGGTCTAAAGTGTCACTTGGAATTATATTCTATAAAATCAACCTAAGTTCCAGGGTTCAATCCTGGCTGGTGTCAAAGTTAAAATTGTATTTTATTGCTAATCTTCAGATTATTCTCACATTATCTAGAAGATTATCTGAAAGATTATCTGAAAGATTATATTACGATTATCCTGAGTTAATCTATGCACCTACAAATAAGTCTACTTAAAAGTAGCAATTCTTATAAAAATTTGCTACTTATTGATAGAAAAAATTATCTTTCATAACTGACAAAGATGCTGCTACTGACGGTCGATCTCAGTCAAAGGCAAGTGAAAAGCTGGTTTAATGGTAACCAGGTCGAGATGGGGATCCAGCTCGACAAGGTCATCTACTTATACAAAAGGTATCCGCAGTACTACGCAGTAATACGGGATCGTTCATTGGCTAGATAAGGTGAAACAATGTCTGGGCAAGGTAACAGCGAGGAAGTAATATGTATGAGAAAGCTGAGTAAGATTGTGAGAGATAATCAGTACTAATGGGGATAACGAGTCGTGTATCAGAGCGAGGTAAAGATGAGGCATACATGCACGTCTTGCATGTGTGATAAGAAGAAGATCCAGAGTTGGATCCGGTGTAACCCTAGACTAGGAGTTCTGGATATCTGGGTAGAGAATCAGAGGTTGCGCTCTGATGAGTCACGTGTTGGATCACGTGGTCTGGTAAAGTAAAGGGAACAAAGAAAGGAAAAAGAAAAGACGTGCCATAGCTGAGGAGCATTGTAACATCAGCTCTCGTCTATCGTTTCTTGTCCTACAAGAAATACTGTAGTCTTCATCATCGTCGGGGGCAGTCCCGAACATAATGATCACCTCCACATCTGTAGCATGTCCACCGGCCAGTTCGTGGTCCTTGTTCATGCGTATGTCCATCACGATAGAGATGACTGTGATGCGAAGAAGTTGATGCGTGTAAGAAGGAGGGTTGCGATAGTGGAGGTTGACCAGTAGGTACATGTGAACGAGGAGGGCGAGGTCAAACAGGAATTGGTTCAGGTGATGAGCGAGGAGTGGATGTGGGTCTCCCATTAGTGGTGTATCCGAGGATGTGTCTGATGTCTTCATCCCCATGCTCCCTCCATATCTCCTGCGCTGTGCGAGTGACTGTACTGCGCATCAGAGACCAGACTTGGTCGACTCTGGTTCAGGCTCTACTCGTTCTTTCCTCTGCTGCGATGAGCTCTTGTCTGGCTGTCTGCATCCACTCGACCATTTCTAATGCTCGCTGCATAGAAACTACTGCTTGTCAATCTTGCGGGCGATTCCTCAGGGCAACTAGAATGTCTGTGAAGTCAACGGGGATGTGGATGGCAGAGACTAGATGTGTGGCAAATTCTTGTTCGTCCGATGCGTGACTGAGTTCGATTGATGGTGAAGGCGATGAAGTGCGGATGAAGGGTGTCTGTGTTCAGGAAGGTACTCCATTGACAAGCGTAGGTGATGCGGGGATGCTCATAATTGTGGAAATGACTTCAGCGAGTATGTTCTGAACAAGATCGTCTATGGCAGAAGTGGGCATTGATGATACGTCGTTTTTTCCTCCTTTTATACCTTTCGGTCATTAAGGGGATCGTGGTTATCTGTGATGTGAAATAGAATGTCGTGGATGTGGGTGACAATCAAATAGATGAAAATCCATTGGGCGATAAAGAGTATTCCCATGGAGATAGGAACTGCCTGGTCAGTTCCAGGCATCGTTCTGATCACCCCAGCCATTAGCGTGTGGTTTGTCCCATGTGAAGAGCGTGTGTTCGACAAGTCATTTGATAAGGATTCAGTGGATGATCCAAAGGAAAGCGAGGGTTATGCAGTGGAGGACGATTAGAAAGATAATGAGGAAGGCTGTTGTGGTAGTCATTCCAGTTTCCTCATCCTCTACTTGATTCCCCTGGTCCTTTTATATGCGTCGAGGGTCTGCTTTGCATTCTGTAAATTGTGGGCAGGTTCCCACGAGTTTTCTGCTGATGAATATCCCTTCCATTTGACTAAGTACCTCAGGTGACCTCTGTATGCCTTGTGATTCAGGATGGCTTCAACTTCGTACTCTTCTTCGTTATCCACGACATCAGGTGGTGGGTTCACGTAATTCGGACCATGTATGTCGTTTTCACGATAAGGAGATAGAAGGGCAGCGTGGAATACGGAATGAACTCGCCAGGTCTTCGGGAGTCTAAGGCGATAGTTGGCTGGTCTGATGACTTTAATGATTTCGAATGGCCCCTCACGATTTGGAGCTATCTTGCGTGAGGCATAGTTGACCTTCAGGTTCCTCGAGTCTAGCCAGACCTTCTGTCCTAGTGTAAACTTCGGCAATCCTTGTCTGACTCAGTCCGCCATCTGTTGTCGGGCTAACTCATGCATGGCTAGTACTTCTAGTCTTATCTTCTGCAACATGTCAAGCCTGGATTCAACCGATAGAATGTTTGTGGTTGGGAATACAGAAGGGAGTCCACATGGTTCATATCCCATCATGATGCGAAATGGGCTCATCTTCCGTGTCGAGTGTTCCCTCGTGTTATGACAAAACTCAAGGTCTGGCAGGCGATCAGTCCATGTTTCAGGGTTGTTTCTGCAATAGAGTCAAAGATAGATTTCCAGCTCCTGACTCATTCTGTTTCTCCGTCCATCTGAGGGTGATAAGTTGTGCTCATCGATGATCTAATCTGGAGTAGTCGATTTAACTCTTGGAAGACCTTGGATGCGTATTGAGGCCCTCTATCTGAGATGATTCAGTCAGGTAATCCGAATCGCGAGTAAACTTGTTCGTGAAAAATCTTAGCTGTCCCTTCAGCTGTGATCATTTTGAGGCAGGGCGTAAGAATCACCCCCTTCGTAAGGTCATGGTCTACTACGACCATAATCGAATCAAAGTCGTTGGAAATGGGAAGGTCGATGATAAAATCTGTGGTGCAACAGGAAAATGGTAATGCGTGTAGGTCTGCGGGGATTGGTTCCAAAGGAATATGAGTTGGATGAGTATTCGGTTTCATCTGTTGGCAGGCAGCACAGCCTTCGACGTAATTGTTGACAAATGCATACATGCCAGGCCACCAAAATTCATGACAGAGGAGTTCAAGAGGATTGAACTTTCCAGGGTGGCCCATGGCAGGGGAGTCGTGATGTAGTCGAACGAGGTCATGACGAAGAGGTTCGGATGGTGGAACATATATCTTTCCCTTGTAAAGGATGACACCATCACGAACTTCCCAGTCGGAGAGCGAGGATTTCATTGGGAATGGCCCTTTGTGCACAATCACTTCAAGGGCTTCATGAACAATGAGGTCCTTAGCTGCATGATTTCTGATTTCGTCAAATAGCATTGAGGAAATGGATCACACAAACAGTGCATCAGGTAAAAGGATGCGATCTTCATTGTCACTTTCACTGTCATTGAGTCTGTTACGATGAGATAGTGCATCAGATTGGACCATCTGAGTGCCAGGGACATGAATGAGGTGAAGATCGAATTGTGATAATTTGAGACTCCATCGTGCTTGTCGTCGGTTTAACTTCTGGGCTGTACGGAAATACGTGAGGTTCTTGTGATCACTGTGAACTTCAATGGGATGAGGAGAGCCTTCTAGATAATGGCACCATTCGGTAAGGGCTCAAATGATTCTGAGAAGTTCGCAGTCGTAGATTTCGTAGATTTCAGCTGCATTGAGTGTCTGCAAAATGTAGGCACAAGGATGGAGGTCTCCATTGATATGGGCTTGTCATAAAACTGCACCCATAGCAAACTTGGAAGCATCGGATTCGACAATAAAGGGTTTTGCTTTGTCGGGCAGCAACAACACTGGGGCAGTACTGAATTGTTGTTTCAATTATCAAAAGCCGTCTGACATTCTGTTGTCCATTCAAAAGGTGGAGATCCAGCAGTGGTACGTGTAAGGTTTGTCAGTGGTTTGGCAATATCTGAAAAGTTGGCAATGAATTTCCGGTAGAAGTTTCCAAACCTGAGGAAAGAGCGAACACCTTTTACTGTACTTGGTTCAGGCCATTCTGCAATTCCTTTAAGTTTGATAGGGTTCATGCCAATGTAGTTTTCTCGAATGATCATGCCTAGGAATTCGACTTCCTTAACGTCAAAGAAACACTTTTCCGGTTTAAGGAATAGGTCATTGTCTTTGAGTCATTGGAGTATGCGTCAGGTTCGAACGTGATGTTCTTCCAAATTGTTCGAAAAGATGAGGATATCATCCATGTAAATGAGTATCCATCCTTCATCGATCATGTCCTCGAAGAGTGCATTCATCATCATTTGGAAAGTCACCGGGGAGTTGCAAAGTCCAAAGAACATGACCATAGGTTCGAAAAGTCCGCGGTTTGTCTTAAACACGCCCTTCCATTGGTCACCATCTTTGACTCTGACGTTGTTATATCCGGAGTGTAAATCCATTTTCGTAAAGATCGATGCACCCTTGAGTTGATCCATGAGCTCAGAAATGGGCGGAAGGGGGTAGGCATTCTTCACTGTCCCTTCATTCAGGTATCGGTAGTCCTGACAGGGACGTAGTGCTCCATCTTTCTTTTCAACAAAGAAGAATGGTGAGGCCAAGGGGGATTTCGATGGTCGAATGTATCTCTTTCACAGATTTTCTTCCAAGAAGTCATCCATCGCTCCTTGTTCCTTAAGCGATAATGGATAGACTTTACAGTCACGTGGAATAAAATCGGGTTTCAAGTCAGTGGCGTGGTCCCAAGGCCTGGTTTCTAGGAAGCGTTCAGCTGCTTTCTTTTCAAAGACTGACTTTAAATCGTGGAGGTAATTGGAGACCAACTCCTCAACAGTTTTGGATTTGTCTGCAGCTGATGCTTCCTTGTGTGCCTGTTGTGCCAATTCCTGTGATTTATCGGATGGTTTATAAAAGACCGTATTCTGTGTATTACAGAATAATGGGGATCGAGTACTGTGTGTCATTCTTCTGATGGTGGGGCCTCTTCATATAGTGAAGACTGCGGTTCCAGTCTCTTTATTTGTCAAAGGTGATTCCTTCCTGATGGGTTCGAATATTCCAATAACTGGTTCTCCTGCGATATAGGAGATAACTAGATTGTCATCATCCAACTGATCCATAGAGGATTCTAATAGTGGGTCATCTGGCTCGGTATCATTTCGCACTGCGGGTAACTTGCCACGCTCAGTGTCGTTGACCATGATTTCTCTGATAGATTCTGAATGTCCAAATGAGGTCGGAGAAGTTTCAGTGGTGATTAACTCCAGGAAGTCATCTTTCTTGAAAATTGAAATTTCTTCATCTGGTACATCTTCAATGGTGGGTTTCAGTGGCCATTTGGCATCTTTGCCAAACCAAAAGTCACCGGTGTCCCAATTAATCATCGGATTGAGGCGTTTAAGCCACGGCATGCTGAGAAGTATATTCTCTTTGCCAATGCCGGTTAAGAGGAAGCGGGTAAGTGTCTTCCTTCCTCCAATCTTCGTCATTTTCCAGGTACAGTGGGTAATGGTACCCATCTGATTCGGTGTGCCGTCTGCATTTATGACTTTAATCAGTTTCAGTAATTCCCATTTAAGGAAATCATTTTCTTCTGCAAATCGAATATGCATGAACGTTTCAGCCGCACCAGAATCGATCAAGGCTTCTGTTGCACTAACTTAACCTAATCCTTCTCTCCCAACGAAATATTCACAGTGATTGAATTTCCGCTAGTATTACAAATAACGAGGGGAGATACGGTAAGATACGACGGTCCATGCGTTACTAGTGGCCATCGTTTCAAAAACCCAACTGGGTTCATTCTTCATCAGTCATGTCATTGAAGACGTTTCGCACATAGGTGATCTGTTCCTCTCTGGTTTCTTCCTTCGGCATCTCCTTCTTCTGTGCAAGGTCTTCTCGCATCTTCTTGATCCATGTGATCGTGTCCATGTCCAACCTGGGCTGTATCGTTCTAGCACAGGTGAAACTTCCAGACTGAGGGTGAAATTGTCTGTCGTTGGCTATATGGCCCTTCTTTCCGCATAGGAAACATAATTCTTCTTTCATTCTCTTCTGTCGCTCATCTGGGGACAAGTGCGAGATATTGATATGATCAACATCCATCGCGTTCAGATCCTTTGCAGAAGTCGAGTAGTAGGGACAATGGACAGATCGGCCTTTTCCTCGTGTCGTCGTAGTGGCTCCTCGCTTGAAGATTTGAGCAGATCTCCATTGGTTGTCAAACCGCGAGGCGTATTCGTACCACTTGTCAAGTGTCTTGGGCATGCTTTCCATCCCATATATTCTTTGTCGGAGTGGGTCGTTAAGTCCCCACTTGAAATACTCGATATTTCCGGCATCTTCTAATTTCGCCTTGGATTCAAGCGATCAGAATTCGGCAATGTAGTCGTCCGCGGTACGAGTCCCTTGCTTGATGTTACGCAGCAAGGTACGAGTGGTTTCTTCAACATTTTCATTGCCAAATGCTTTGTTCACACTCGTAATAAACTCTCTCCAACTTCCATAAGAAAGGAAGTCATCATTGGTGAGTTCCGTTTCTATGAAACTCTGCGCCCATGATCCTGCTGTCCCTTCTTGCATGTGCGATAGCACAAATGCAATCTTCTGATTGTCCTCTTGGTAGACATGGCTATTTCCAGCCATGTAATTCTTGCATTGGTTTATAAATTCCCTGAGCTTCGAACGGTCTGAACCGTTGAAGATCTCGGGTTTTCTAAAACCAAGTTTTTTTTGGCTAACATGGTAATGACTTTCATCCATGGTAATTGTAGCCACTGGTGGAATGTCAATGGTTACAATTGGTGCAAGAGTCGATTGTCGTATGGGATTCTGGGCAGGGAGGTTCCAAGGGGCATCTGGTCTTTCTCCTTGATAAGAGATTGGTATACCACTGTCTGCGATATGTAGCAGTACAAGCTCTCCAACGTTATGGGGTAGAGTTGCTTCGTAGCCACCACCTGGGTGATCGATGTGCTGATCTGGTCTGATGAATAAGGGTCATCCGTTTAAAATGTGTACGTTCCTCTGTGCATCCCACTCTGCCTGAGATGGGAGGAGGTCGATGTACTGCTTGGGAAGAGCAGTTGGGTTGATAAAGTTCAAATCCAGCGTGGATAATTTTTTCTGTGTGACCTACGTCTACACGTAGACTGCACACCATCCTTAACTAAGTGGGTTCGTTCGTCATCAGCTAACAAGCCTGTAGAGTGTCTTCTGTCTTCAAACTGATACACCTATTTGCTGATTGCTCGAGTGATTACCTCAGCCTCCTTGGCCTATTGGTCTCTCGGACAGACCCCTCTCCGAAGATGAGTGATCAGTCTATCCCTTCAGCTACCTCAATTACAGAGCAATCTCAAATGGTGCTTTAGCAATCGAATTGGGTGTATCATTTAGTCTTCAAGGTTCGGTCCGGTCGGTAGTTCGTTGTTAGACTTTAGGAAGTCACAGAGAGTAATAAGATCTCGACCTAATGTTATGCGGCAGCGAAACACGAGCGTCTAGTCAAGTCGTCACGAGACAAGGTCTTAGTCTAAGACACAAGTCCATTCAAGTGACACTTCTGGCCATGTCCTCGCACTGAAGGTCGATCAGAGTTCGTTCTTATGACTCGTAGTAGCTGTCTGCTACTGATGGTCGATCTCAGTCAAAGGCAAGTGAAAAGCTGGTTTAATGGTAACCAGGTCGAGATGGGGATCCAGCTCGACAAGGTCGTCTACTTATACAAAAGGTATCTGCAGTACTACGCAGTAATACGGGATCGTTCATTGGCTAGATAAGGTGAAACAATGTCTGGGCAAGGTAACAGCGAGGAAGTAATATGTATGAGAAAGCTGAGTAAGATTGTGAGAGATAATCAGTACTAATGGGGATAACGAGTCGTGTATCAGAGCGAGGTAAAGATGAGGCATACATGCACGTCTTGCATGTGTGATAAGAAGAAGATCCAGAGTTGGATCCGGTGTAACCCTAGACTAGGAGTTCTGGATATCTGGGTAGAGAATCGGAGGTTGCGCTCTGATGAGTCACGTGTTGGATCACGTGGTCTGGTAAAGTAAAGGGAACAAAGAAAAGAAAAAGAAAAGATGCGCCATAGCTGAGGAGCATTGTAACATCTGTTCCAATTGCGGAAAGTTCAGGCACATCGGGAAAGATTGTTGGGCCAAGGGCGGCGGCAAGGAGGGACAAACGCCTTTCAGAGCAGGACCGTCCAATGCCCCATATCGAGACACATCATCCGGAGAACCTCCATACAAGCGCCAAAAATTCGAGCAGACGCGCGATGCCAGCGACAAAGGCAAGGACAGAGCGCACATTGCACGCGAGAATGATAAAGAAGATCATGATAGCGATATGGTATCCTTAGGCACTAGCTCGGGGAATGAAGATTTTGATTCCTTCTATGACTGGTATGCTGATTCAGCGACAACATCGCATGTCGCGAAAAATCACGATATATTCATAACCTACAGACCCCTCGAGCATCACGCGATAAGTGGACTTGGCACTGTCCAAGCCTATGGACGAGGAACCATACAGCTCGAAAGTAAGGTATGAAATAGAAGAATTAAGTTCCAATTGCGCAATGTACTATATGCACCGTGGTCCTCCTGCAATTTACTTTCAATACCGAGACTTGATGAAGTTGGTGGCCGAACAGTCATGGGAGATCGGCGCGCAATCTTAATTGATCGCCGCGGAAAAACCCTTGCTGTCACCAAAATGAAAGGTAGATTATATTTATTGCACGCCCGAGCGATTAAGCCGCAACAAGGGAGTGCATACATAGTGTCCAAGAATGACCCGCACACCTGGGAAGAGTGGTACTGATCATACAAACACATCAGCAAAGCCACGCTACAAACTTTGCAGCGTGACCATCTAGTCGAGGGCTTACAATTTCTGCCCGGCCCGGCCAATATCAAATGTGCTGCATGCATTCAGGGAAAGGCATCAAAGAAGCCATTCCCTAAAGCGGCAAGCGGGAGAAGCCATCAGCCCAGTGAGTTTACACATACCGATGTCTGGGGCCCAGCGTGGACTGCTGCAATAGGCAGGTGGAGATATTTTGTAACCTTCACAGATGATTACACACAACGAAGCACAGTCGTGTTTACCAAAATGAAGGATGAAACTACAGACAAGGTAAAGAATTATATGACCTACCTTGATCGACATTTTGGGAACAAACTGCGAAAACTCTGCATAGACAATGGGCGAGAATATATTAACACCAAATTTGTTACAAAGCTCCTCTCTGAGGAACGCGCGGACGACTTCCGCCTTTACCTTTACCGATCATGTGACAATGATGTCACAGAGTCTAGACTGACCATGTGACAATGACGTCACCGACCACATGACCATGATGTCATCATGGTCATCGCCCTTATCTATCCGGCACGGATCTACCTAATCATCTGACGATATGCGCCTTGTGCTCAAGGCATGTTTACCTCATGTGCGAGATCCAGACCTAGGACGCACTTCCTATCACACACACGACAAAGGCATGTACACCTCACCTCTGCCTTACCCTTACGATACAGATACCGAACCTTATGGGCATGACCCTAGACCCTGATACATGCGCTAGACGCACGACGACCTCGCTGCTGCCTTGTCTTTGCAGCACGACCTTATCTCCATATGGACAGATTGTCTCTCACGCAGAGTCATGACTGACTCAGCATTCTCACGACCGTGGGACAGGTATATGAACCCTGTGCCCTTGTATTAATACCGATGGACCAATCGTAGTTCTAGTATTACAGGTAGACAGACGCCTGTACTTGTATATAAGACCGACAGGACAAGCTGGAGTCCCCATCTTGTCCTGGTTACACATCAACCAGTTTTACCATCTACATCTGTGCGACAGATCGACCTTGGTCCGCAGACAGCGGTCAAGCGTTCATAAGACAGCTCCACTGGGCCGACCTCTGGTCATCGCTGTGACTGGAGGTCGGACCCCTCACGATTGACTTGAGCCCTTGCGAAGGCTTAGTCACTAGATGACGAACCGGATGTATGGTGGCACGACTGGCCCCCGTGACATTAGGACAAGATAGTTATTCACTGCTCAACCTCCTATAGTTTAGAGCTGACCTTGACGATTACAATTTGTCCATGTTCGCAGACAGCGTAACATTAGGACAAGATCCTTATTCTCTGGCACAACCTCCTATGGTTTAGTGCAGAACTTGACGACCCCGACCTCGACCGGTTTACAGACAGTGACCGTGTCATGATATGTTCCTTGACCGACCAAGGCGACGGTTACCTTAGGACGACACTACCCGACCTCGACTTGTCCATGTTCGCAGACAGCGTAACATTAGGACACCTGTGATAACAGAGATGGAGATACCGTGATTTGACACTCCATTCTCTTGACCTCGACCTTGTCCATTAACATTAGGACACCTGTGACGACAGAGATGGAGATACCGTGATTGACACTCCATACTCTCGATTCGATATCCAACATTGGAACGACGAAGAAGACCCTTGTCTGGTCATTCCTAGGTGAGACCAGATTTTCGAAAGACAATTGATTGGCACCTTGTTCGAGACGAACTCTCAAGAGTTTACCCTTCATTGGGCGACTCTCAGGGGTCGAATCCCCTCATGCGAGGAAAGCTACGACATGTGTAATAATCAAAGACATGTACGAGCCGCATGTGACTGCGAATCGGAAAGGTTTGGCCACCGTAGAATTAGTACCGATTCTATGGACCGTGATGAACTGAGGATGGTGCGCAGCCTTTGACGAAGGACTTAAGTTGCACACTTGATGATCATGGCTGACAACACCGAGTGCGGCGAGATACCCACGGTGCAGATTGATCCCGGGAACGGCAACCCATATAAACTGTAGACTCTTAATTGAGTCCGATCTGATGATCATTTGATGATTGTGATCCCTGAATGGGAGCTCGGACTGAGCAAGTGGACACTCGCTCTCCACTATAAACAAACGATAGATCTTGGCTGAGAACACCCTGCATGGCGAGTTACCTGGGGTGCAGAAAGATTGACAACTCGATGCCATTACGAGTTGATGACCATGGAATGTTTGAAGATACCGCGAGTTGACACTTCAAAACCATTCCCTGTCGAAGAGGCTCTCGACGTTAAAGAAACCGACAATCCGAAGAAGATCCTGATGTAACAAAAGGATCTGAATGATGACCGTCGATCACAGCTCTCGACGATAAAGAAACTGAACCTGGATGAACCTTGAATGACATAGTAAAAAAGGT